CCTGTAACTCTGCCTCTAACATGTGTCCACTTGATCGGAATTCCGCAGGATTGGAGGTGCAGCGGGACAACGGTCTCAAGCTGTTCCTGGAGAAGGACGACCTGGAGCGGCTGTACGACTTCGAGGAGGAGTGCGTCGAGGGCTTCTTCCACGAACAGGAAATCATCCTCAATCAGTCGACGGACGAGCGGGTGAAGAACACCACGGAGCGGGTGGAGACCATGTCTCAGAAAATCGAGGACATCAATCAGAAGGAAAACATACAGACGGCCACCGTTCAGGTGCGTAGTCAGCAATCCCAGCCCCAAGCCCCCAAACACTTGTTTTGACATCCCAATCCTGTGAGTTTGCATTTTTATGCAAATGTCCTGTGTGATGCGTGTTATCCAAACTGACATGGGTTCTGACAGCACGTCTTAACATCTGAATTGAAAATTGGACACGTCCGAATGACCATTTACTGCAGCCGTTGCAGCATTTTCTTTCTTGCCATTGTCCGACATACACAGTGGAAATTTAATTCGATTTATCGCCAGCTTTAATTTGTTATGTCTGTTGTTCATTCTCCAGAACATCGAGTTCCGGCTGCGAAAGATGGAGGAGTCCTCGGAGCAGATACTCTCCCACTTGGCCGTCATACATCGCTTCATGTCGACCCATATCGCTGGCACGGATGATTTGCGCGGCTCGACGATAAACATTCCGGGGGAGATGCAGCGCGTGCGCACCATCTCGATTTCGGACACGGAGGCCGGCGGCGGACCAGGCGGAAATGGTGGTGGTGGCGGAGGCGGCGGAGGAGCCATCGTACCACTTGGCCTGGGCGCCGGACTGAATTTAAATTCGCTGCAGGTGCGTTTGAATTACATATCGCAGCAATACCAAGCACACTGGGACAGAAAATGTCATTCTGAACTTGATATTGCCCGAACCAAAAAATAGATTGCCTCGAATGACAACACGGTTTACAAGACCTTTTATTTATGATGTTCAAAGTAATCCCTAGGTGTTTCAGTGTCATATAGTATTTTTTGGATGTAAAGAGAGACATCTAAAGCACGTAGGACTTTTATGTGACACCTCATTATTTATTTATATATTTATTAATTTATACGATTATAATGTTAAATATGTTTTCTGTGCAATAAATCATTGAATCGATGACATCCCATTTTTTTCTGTGCACACACTTATGGCGAATATATCCAGGTGACCACCAGGCGCCGCTTCAATCGATCGCTGACCGAAGTCCGGCCGGATGCGTACATCTTCGACGAGGGCACGCACTTCGAGGTGGTGCCGCTGCCGGAGGAACCGGACGAGGTGGTCAAGTCCCGAGAGGCCCTCAACGAGCAGGTGGTCCGCAAGGCGTCCATGCAATCGGAGGCTGACTCGGACATCTACCTGCCCCTCTCGCAGCGACCCTCCACCTGTGAGACGGTGAAACGGACACCGTATGTGACCGTGCGTCAGGACACGGGTGCCAGCACGGAGAGCAAGGACACCCTCACGCCGATGGGCAACAACGATGACGACCAGACCCTCGTGGGAGGCGACAACTCCGACGATGCGGCGCCAGACATCAGCTTTGAGGGTAATTTGGCCTAGTCGCTTCCTCTGTCCTGTGTTCTTGCCTTCCGTTCTCTTGTGTTGTGTTCACTGTACCTGTCCCAGCAGTAGCGAATCCGTATAAAAGTATCTTCCCATCCAAACCAAACAGCTGCCAGGCATCGGGCACTCCGCCAGCGCACGGTTTCCCTGTGCCGCCGCAACTCGGAGACCTACTCTTTGACCGGGGCGGACATAAACCGATCGCACATCAGCCTCAACCAGCTGGCCTCCTTGTCCCGCCGACAGATGAGTCTCACGCAATCGGAGCCGGACAGCGACAAGGATGCACCCGCCGCCCAGGGATCCGGACATCCGGGTAAGAAGCCATCGAAGGATGAAAACAACACGCCGGCCTCAGATTTGCGCTCTAAATTCAGGCTACTAATCCCGTCATGCCATCCCACCTAACCCAGAAACCCAGAAAAATCGTAATCCAATCCAAACCCACCAATCCAGCAAACCGAATTGGCCAACAAATTTCGAGTAGCACTGACCATTAACCATTGACCAACCGATCATAACCGAATCGAGTCCTAACTGTTGTTCGTTCTCTCGCACACATCATTTTCTCTGAACCTAACCACGAACTCCGAACTCTAGGTAAATCAGTATTGCATGCGAAACCCTCCAGAAATATCTTGCTGAAACTGCACAGCGAGTATACCTCGATCACGGACGAGCTGGAGAGCGTCTGCCACATGATAGCATCGCCCACGGTGTCCCTGCCGAGCAACAAAGGTAAGCCAGGAGGAGCACAAGGTCAGGAATCACGAATAACGAGTTACGAATCGAATTGAGTCCCAGTTGCCCGTTTCAATATCCGTGAGCAAAGTGTAAATAACTAACCGGTTGAATGCGCAACGCCCGTATCATTGCCTTGCTTCCGCCGCCTCCAAATGGAAGAGATTCCCCACATCTGGTTTCTTTCCCTCCTGAATTGAATTCGCAAACCCTACTCATATTTGCTTTTCACCCTGTTGAACCGACAGCTTCACTGGACCGCCCCAAAACGGAAATGTCACGGGCTGAGGCTGCGGCTTTGCTGGAGAAGAAGCATCTGAAGGAGTGCGAGGAGAATGACTACATGATACTGGAGGGTCTGATTGAGTCGCGCGGCTCCATCGATGCCAGCGCCCAGGGATTTGAGGTATAGGTTTACGCATATATCCCATTACCAACAGTTACTTAAGTCACCTTCTCCACCACAGATCGGCGTATCCATAGACTACAGCCATCGCTATCCGCTGCGTCGCGAGACCGCCGTGGAGCTGTCACCTTCGAAGCCCTCGGTCGATGGCGACCTCATGGGCGGTGGCGGAGGTGGCGGCGCCGGCGGTGGCGACAGTAGCGACACCAGTGGGGCTGGTAGCTGCGGTGCCATGGTCGTCGTCTCGAGCGGCTTTCAGCTGAAGAACGAGCGCCCCTGGCAGCGCAACTCCTCGATGGAGCAGCAGGCGTATCCCTCGCCGCTGGTGCCCACCCGGGCCACGAGTGACTTCCTCAATGCCCCGTACGAGGGCAGCGGGCGTCTGTTTAAGAAGTCCAGCGAGAGCCTGCAAAAGAACTCCAGCACGGAGACGGACTACTCGGCCCACCCGTACCGCTTCATCAAGCAGAGTTCCAATGAGACGAACACCTCGCTGACGGGCTCCTACAACGTGGACACTCCCTCGCTGACGGCGGAGCCCTCGCTGGACGCCGGCGACTCGCACTCGGCGACTGGGATAAGCATCAGCGTTGGCGCTGTGGGCGGCGCTGCCACGGCGCGTTACCAGCCCATCCGTACCGCTTCGGTGGGAGCGGCCGATGGCCGGCGTTTGCGGGAGGAGAGCTCCAGTTCGCTGGACCTCAGCGCCTCGGGGCCAGTGACGATGCAGGCAGCGCCGGCACCGCCAGCGCGTCCGATGCAGCTGAAGAAACAGTTTAGCGTGGACCAGGGCAAGCCGTCTCAGCCGGCCGAGGCAGTGCCTCAGACACCGGAAGCCGCTGGCCAGGCTGGTCAGGCCAAACTGATTTCCACACTCAAGCCGCAGCCCTTTGCGAGCAAGCTGGGCATGAACGTGCTGAAGGAGAGCAGCTCCAGCACGGAGGAGTCCGGCGGGTCGTCCGCCAAGAGCAGCAACCCGGCGCTATCCATACCGCAGATCAGCACCCATCTGGTGCAGGACGAGATCGCAAAGCTGTCGTCGAACATCAAGAGCAGCACTGAATCGGAAAAGGACCCGCCGTTCAACGAGACAATGTGTTAGCAAAGTACTAGGATGAGGCCCATTGATCATGGGTGCCACACACTCGTCTCACTGTGCTCAATGGGAGAACTAGTCATAGGAGTTGGGTGATAAAAATGTTAATGAACTAGCGTTGGGATCTGGGAAAACAGATATCAGAGATTATGCATATTTAGTCGAGGGGGTAGCAAGTTACATACGTGTTAATGATTTTGACAATACATAGTTCACAAATTCTCTGTATTTTTATACAAGTATTAATCTAGAAAGCGCCATTGTTGTTGTTGTACACTTTAAAGGCAGGAGCATAGAAATATAATATCTGTTTTTGTTTGTTGCCAATAGGAACCACCAAAGAAATGCATATTGAAACGCCTGAGTTAAGCGAAGCACATACTCACATATTTGGTACTTTTACAATATCCTAGGTGTAGTCAGTCGTACATATTACAAACATATCTGAAAGCAACCACTCTACTTTATCCAAGCCGGTCATGAGCACTTACCTCAACTCAATTAGAAACTTATCGCAGCCTAATGTACTTATACCTGTAACCCTGAGCCACATATTGTAGACTACAAGGTTCACTGCAATATCAGCTCTTCTGTAATGTGTGTTTGGCATATGTGTATAACGTCTCCTTAGATAGTCCATTTTACTTGCTTATATGGGAGAAATTCGTGTTTTCTATGTGCGTCTGCCCTTTTTCGGCGGCACTAGATATTATTGTACATAAATAGAGTATAGTAAATGTTATAGGTTTATGAAAAGATCGCTAAAATGGTTCATGTTTGGCCAGTGTGTGCTAATAATTTAAAATAGTTTTTAAATATTTCAAGAATTAAGAATAACATTGCATTTTAATAAAATATTTATGATTGTACTTATTTATTTTAAGAATTGTATGTTATTTTTATTAAAATAAATTATTAACACTTTAAGAATTTCAATTAGGACATGTATTCGTCTACATGGTGTGAGATATGTCCCACAGAAAGCTACTTAGTTACTTAATTAAAATTTGAATAACACGCTCAATAACGATATCAATAATATGTTTAGCAATTTGTATGCACTTTTGAAGGTTTTTTTTTTTTAAACTCTGATATAGGACTTTCTTCTATAAACTGGTCCATGTTATCCGCCATTAATTCCTTCGCCTCAAGCGCCTCAAGACTCTGTTGAACTAGTTTCTTTAGTTCTTCCTTCTTGTCGCGCTTGAAAAATCCGAACTAAGGAATAAAAAACATCATTAGAAGCTAATCCATTCCAAACATTCCCATACAAACCTTGTGAAGAGTATATGTCATTGCAGAGAGCAGCAAAACGCCCACGATCACGGACAAAATGACTTTCCAAATGGATAATTCAGTATGCTTGGATATCACATTCGATTTGATCTTCTTGTTAATCTTGAGCGAACTGGATGTGGGATCGCCCTTCTTGAGCAGTCTCAAATCGGTCTTTATGACAAAATACTCCCAGGAATCCTCTATCTCGTTCAGATCCAGCTTGAAGCTTATGCTTAGGTTAATTGGTTTATGTGGCCAAAATTTGAGGCGCATTTCGGCCCTTACGCATATCGTTGTGTTGGTATCCTGGCAGTTAAACACAATGGTGTTATTCATCGGCAGACTCTCCTCCTCGTTCCACTGGACATCGGATATGCTAGCACTGGTCTCTTGGTTGCCAATCAGGCGTTCCGCATCCCTACGCTTTCGGGTCGCGAATAAAATGGTATTGTTCTGATCATAGAGTTCTATGGGGGGCGTTTGGGAATCGTACGTGGCCTGCATCTTCAGACTGGCTATGTCAATGATGGGCTTTACTTTTATAGATTCAGCCGTCTTATAGGCTACGGGAATATAAAGGGACACAGATAACTCTTCGATGGTGCTGGGGCCCAAGCTTTTGATCTCGTATTGGTTGATGACTTCCAAGGGGTAGGCGTCCCCTTTGAGAACAATTTGATGATTTGTCCGACCGCTTAAAAGTTATAAGGAGTTTAGATATGATTTTAATAGTTTTTACTAGTATTATGAAAACTTACCCGCTGGCATCGATTTCGGTGAACTCCTTCAAACCGATCACGTTCGTCTGCTTGTTGTCCGTGGGATTCTTCTCGTACCCCGTGCTGAACACTTCTGCGTGGATGATCAGCGACTGTCCGCTGAGTTGGCTCACATCGAAGCTGATGGAGACGGAATCGCTGTCACCCTTGGCCAAAGGTCGTCCGCGGTTCAGGTCGCACTCCATGACGGCCTCGGTGACCCTGCAATTTCCAGGGACCTGGGCAAAAGCCAGGCGGGATGTGCTCGTCACGTTCAATTGTGGAAGGTATGCGTTCTCTCCGTTGTTGGTGATCTCGTATTTGATGTTCAGCGTATCGGTGCTACCCAAAATAAACGTGGGGCTATGGAAAGTTCAAAGCAGTAGCTATAAGTCATTACTTTGTTTTAAAAATAAATGGTTAAATTACTCATAGGTACTCATGAGTTTAAATTATCTAAATTGGGTCTTTGTCGTTTTACATTTTATTTTCTAATGCTAAAGACATTCAGCAAAAGATATGAAGATATTTCTGAATTCCTGAATCAATTGACTTTTGACAATTCTAAGCATAACCTTGGTGCTATTGGTTATTGTGTTATTGGCATACCTAACATTCTTGCTCCTCAGCTGCAGATCTGCGATACAAACATCGGTGGCACAGCCCGTGCTGAAGATAATCTTCTGCGTGGAGACCGTAGGTTCCTGTGGATCAACAACCGCACACGTTTCGCAAAACTCTGTTGAAGGGTTCTACATTAGTGACTTCATTCTCTTTCCATTTACCTTAGTAGTTACCCTTCGAGTCGAAGACCTTCTTCGTCAGTTCGTAGTGCATCTCCATAACGATGGGCGTGAATATGTTGCTGAAGCGCACCTGAACCTCAAAGTCTCGGCAACTGTCTTTAAGACCCGCAATCGCTTGGAATCTCATCTTGTCGGTCTGGCTTTCCGCGAATTTCACCCTCCCCAGCTTCGTGTCGATTAAAATCTGGATGTTTAGCTTCTGCTCCTTCATTTTCTTTGCCTTAGTATCCAGTCTGTAACAGGCGGTGATGGTCAACTTGTCCTTTCCCAGTTTGATCTCACGCGATTCCGACTTAATTGTGGCAATTACTTTTACGACGGGATAGGTCTTATACAGATAAGAGACCTCCGCGTTGGGAGCTCCGACAGCGAAATCGTTGAACCCGTTGCCATCTACATCCGATCCGCGGGATAAACCGTGACCAAACATGTGTGCTCCGTAAACGGAAGCTTGCTGGGAAGGAGCATCCAGTCGCTGACTCGGCTGATCCCGCAGCCCATCCTTGCTGCCCAGGTAGATTAGCACCGATCCGTTTCCGGCAAAGGGAGCTCCCACGGCCACGTCTGTATCAAGATAACAATATTCATTTTATTTTTTACACGCCATATTTTTAATATAGGTGTGTTAGTAACCCACCGTTATAGCCATCTTGATTGATATCGCCTATTTGCGAAAGAGTAGTTCCAAAACGCCCCTTCTTGCCCACTGGCGAATGAATAATCGTTCGCTCAAAATAATACTGGAATTATAACGCGGCATTAGTCAGATCTTCTAGAAATTCTACTATCTTAAATGTAACTAAATTCTCCAAATGCATTACTCACAGAGCCCTTGTTGATAAACACATAGATGGCCCCGTTGTCGTAGGAATCCTCCAGAGCGTGCTGGGGCGCTGATATGATGACGTCCGTTTTTCCGTCGCCATTAAGATCCTCCGCCAAAACGGAGTATCCAAAATATTCGCCGTATTTCTCACCATAGAAGACGGAATGATTTCGGATGGTCGTTCCATTATCAATCAAATCAAAGATGTAGGCCTCTCCGTACGGCTTGTTGGCCTGGGGAGCGGTGGCCACGTAGAGCAGGGTTTTTGGGTTGGAGCTGTCAAAGTAGCCAGAGCTCACGGCATAGCCAAAGTATGAGTCTTCCTCCTGGTTCCAATTTTGTGGCTCGGGGATTCTTGTTTTATTGTGCTCCAAATGACAAGATTTTGTATAGTTATCATTTTCTGTAAGGTGATTTTCTGACAAATTGTCCTCTGGAAAGTCCAGGATCAGCGATCCTCTCCAATTATCAATGCCCGGGGCGCCGATTAGAAATCTGGAGTTATCGTCCGTCACATGGGCACTCAGTCCCATCTCGCCATTTTGGTATATGAATCTGCCCAATGTTCCCCTATCCTTATTATCCACCTGCTTCGATTTCAAGCGGAGTGGGGAGATACGAGTGACGTGCTCGGGAGTGTTTTTTAGTGTGTTCTGTACCCAATAGCAAACTCCAATCATATGGTATCTGCCAGTACTGATGGCGTAGAATCGGGGAGCGCACACGAGCAACTTATCCGTGTCCCTGGTTCCGCCGTCCATGGATCCTCCCAGCCACTGGAAGCCCTTGTTCTCAAAGTTGTTGGTGGGGCATTCTGAGACGTAGTTCTTAACATCTCCGCGGGGATCCAGGACATACGGACTGCAGGAACCGCTTGTCAGGTTGCATCTGTAGATCGCCCCAGGTTCGTCGATTTTATCCTGCGAACTCAAGGTGGATATAGCTCGAGGAGCTCCCACTATGATGCTACAATCATTATTAAAAGGGGAAAGGCCAGTTTTACTTAGGCGGACTAATATCATATATATTAAACACTTTGAGTGCAGAATGGGAAAATTTGATCATGACTAATTGGACTGTTTATAAATAATAGTTAATTCCCAAATCAAAAAAAAGCTGTAGAAAACAACTTACTATCTTTGGTTGGAGGAAACAAATTTTAATTTTTTTTTTTAAGTTAACTAAAAAAGATAAATCATTCTGAACGTTAAATAAAATGTGTGCCAATCACAAAAGCCCAACAAATTAACAATATGGAACTCTCAAGTCGAGTGTCAGATACTCCTTAATCCTAAAATCAAAATACATATGCCTTGATGACAGAAACGAAATCTTTTGGGATTTCAATTTATATATAGTGCCCATACATATACGATATTGACCATGTAATTCTTTTGACATTACCTATGTCAAAAGGTACGGACTTGCTACAATCTGCGTTCTAAATCCTGATTCTCTAGCTCTTACAGTTTTCCAGATTGTGACGTTTATACGAACGGAAGAACTGAGGGCCTACGGGGTATAGTGACGTTGCTATTGTTACATATCTCTCCCAAGAGTATTTATACTGAACACTATACAATAATGTATTATATAATATGTACTTTTCAGCAACTGGCATTGATCACTATTAAGAACTGAACAACTCACCTGGTAGGGCGGATTACGAGCGAATATCCAAAATATGAGCTTCGCCTCTGGGAGGTATTTAAATGTGATGGAAAGTTTATTACCAGGCTCGGATGCGGCGAGATATTAAAAGCTTCGAATTGGTATATCAAAGCCAAAAAAACAAAGAACAGCATGTGACACATTTTTCGCTAAACAAATGTATAAATATAAATCAAATATGCAACTGTTAAGGTCTTAAGTTATCGTGCATAACTTTAGTTAAATTGTTAAAGCCAACACGCGCACACCCTAATTTTGGGGATTGTTACTCTTCAAAGACTCGAAAGCAAATAAAATGCTATCTACTAAGCTTTGGAACATTTTTAGAATTTGCGCAAAAGTAGATCAAATGTGTACATTTTACACATACAAGTAACCGATAAATTCTTTGAGAGCATTTCTGAAGATTATACACTTAAAACAAAATTGTGGAGAGTTAAAGAAGGTCGTTGAAATAACTTGATTATAAATTTAAAATATTTTACAAACCATTATCTAAAACTTTACCTCTGAATAATAAGCACACAACAAATTTACTTTTTGAAGACATGACTTAAAAAAATTAAAGTTTTAAAAAATTTTAACATTTTTTTTACGAAAATCAAAAATAAATATTTCGGGATGAAGAAAAATTTATTTTATCCCAACTCTGCTGGGTTGAACAACAATACAAATAATAACTATTTATGGTTGGAAGAAATCTTTCCCATTTTTATTCTCTATGATGACATTCACAAATTGGTACCAATATGTATTTCCTATATAATGCATGTAACAGATAGAAGCAAGCGATTCCGTACCTATAAAGTATAAATATACTATATATACAGAAATCGAAAACTATAAAAACTACAAAGTTAAGATTAAGCATGAAGGTTGTAGTTGGTTGGGTGCAAGTTAAACGCCCACAAACAGCCAAAACTTTATCGCTCACAGCTCTGATGCTAGACTAAAATCAGAAAAGTATTGGCCTGTCAATACCTATAGATTGACCTAAAGAAAACTTGGCCAAGCTCACTCGAACGCCCACAAACGTCCTTAACGCCAAAGATTTGTTAAAAGTTTAAAGTGGCATTTCTTGTACATTTTGAATTTTAAAGTTTGATAATCTCTGTTTCGAAAGAAGTGACTTATATTTTGTACATCTCTATGGATTTTTTGTTGTGGAGCATAAAATATAGAAAATATGGGCACTTTAAAGCTTCAACTTTAAAAAACTTTAGAATTAAGTTCACTCCCGAGAATATATAAATTACAAAGGTTTGTAATTTTATAAATGTTAATACTTTAATATAGGTATTTTAAAGATTGGTGTCAATAACAATGATTTTAGAAGTGTTTGATAATTTTAAATTAACACTAAAGTGGTTTGACTGGATTGGTTTTTTTAATTTTGAACTTGAAAACGGTATACTAGATTCGTTGGAAAGTATGTAACAGGTATAAGGAAGCGTTTCCGACAAATAAAGTATATATATTCTTTATCAGGTTCCTTGTCGATTCGATCTAGCCAAGTCGTCTGTCCGTATAAACGCTGAGATCTCGGAATCTAAGAGAAAGAGTGTTGGGACTTGGCATGGAGATTCTTGCATGGATTTGTTTCAGCAGGGTGCCACGCCCACTTTAACGCCCACAAACGACTATAACACTAAAACCCGTCTAGTGACCACATTATTAAATATTTTGTAAAAATGTAAATGAAAGTTTGTTCTTATTATCAATTCCTTTTAACATATAAATAAGTGATTGAAATCGGACCAGTCGTTAAATAGTTAAAACCAAATAATAATCAATATTTTGCCATTCAATTGAGATTGCACACCACATGCAGAAAATAAGCTGTTTTCACTAATACGCCACCAAGCCGCTAGGGGCGCTATAGGCTAGCTGGCGCTGTAGGCCAAGTGGCGCTATAAAAGAAGAAAATAGGTGGCGCTATAGGCTAGGTGTGTTAGTGAAAAAGAAGAGTTGCTTTAAGCATACCTCCAACCCTCTCGCATTCCCTCAGCTGAGTAACAGGTATCTAACAGTCGAGGTCATCGACTATAGAGTTTTTTTTGTTTTTATTTAATGTTCTTATTATTCTTATGTATGGTAAACATTATGGCAATTTTTTTTTAATTTACAATTAAATAAATTCTTTTACATTCTTATGCATGGTTACATAAAACAATTTTTAATTTACAACGCTTAAAAATATTAATAACAAGTCTTAAGAGTTATTTGATGGGGTTATTCGCCTCCGCTTGTATCCTCCGATTCTGCCCGGGAATCCGCATCTGCATCAGAATTCTCCCTCGACTCAGCCATTTCCTCCACAAAACTATCTCGAATTAGCTTGGTTAGCTCGTACTTTATGGTACGTTTAAAAAATCCGTTCTAAGATGTATAGAAAGTCAAGATAGAGATAGGATGTCTTAACCAAACTGATACGAACCTTATAAAGAGCGTAAGTTATTGCAGAGAGCACCACCACGCCCCCGATAACGGACAAAATAATTTTCCAAATGGACACTTCAGCATGCTTGCATATCACATTCGATTTGATCTTCTTGTTAATCCTGAACGAACTGCATGAGGGATCTCCCTTCTTGAGAAGCCTCAGATCCGTCTTGATGACAAAGTACTCCCAGAAATCCTCAGCCTCATTCAGATCCACGTTGAAGCTTATGTTTAGGCTTAAAGGTTTATCTGGCTTAAAGTCGAGCCCCAATTCGACCCGTACGCATATCGTTCGGTTTGTTTCCTGGCAGTTCAACACAATGGTGTTATCCTTCGGCAGGTTCTCTTCCAACAGCAGTTCGTTGGTCTGGACTTGTGATATGCTAGCATTTTGCTCTAGCCGCTCTGAATCGGATTTCACTTTCAGACCTTTCACCTCCCTACGCATCCGTGGCGTCGATAAGGTGGTCTGCCTATGTTCCTGGGTGAAGTTCTTTAGAAGTAAATTATTGGGGTCGAAGAGCTCGATGGTAAGTTGCTTAGAATCGTTGTAGCTGGACTGTATCTTTAAGCTTGATATATCCATAATGGGATATATATCAGAATCAGACGTCTTATACGCTATTGGAATATAAAGCGACAGGTTTAACTTTTCTATAGTACTGGGGCCGTGGCTCTTGAACTCGTAATGGTTGATGAGTTCCGAAATGTAAGGGTCCTTTTTGAGAACAATTTGATCATTTGTCTGAAATCTGAAAATAGATAGCATTCTTAGTCAGTTCTAAAAACAATAGTTGTTTCTTTTTAAATGTACCCGATAGCATCGATCTCGGTGCGCTCCTTCAGAGTGATCACGGTGGTTAGGTTATTGTCCTCTGGATTGGACTCGTTCAGGGCACTGAAAACATTTGCGTAGATAGTCAGAGACTGTCCTCCCAGTTGGGTCACGTCGAAGACTACATCGACGTAAGTGGAGTTAAATTTGGCAATTCGAAATCCTTGGTTCAGATCGCACATCAAGACGTCTTTATATTTTCTGCAGTTTCCCGGAATCTGGGCGAAATCCAGGCGGGGAATGCTGGTCACGTTGAACTGTGGCTGATAGGCGTTTTCCCCTTCGTTGGTGATGTTATATCTCAGACGGAGAGTGTCGGATGTACCAAAAATGAACTCGGATCTAGGGAGAAATAGAAAAATACCTGTAAAATAGAAAACAAAAACGCAACACCCCGAAATGTTTTTACCTCACATTGATGCTCCTCAACTTCAGATCAGCAACGCAATCAAAAGTGGGACAGCCCGTGTTGAAGGTTATGTTCCCTGTGGAAAACTTCGGTTCTGCCGGATCAACAACCGCGCACTCTTCGCAGAACTCTGTTAAGGGTTTACGCATCATTAGTTCATTTATTCAAAACTCTAATATTGAACCTTACCTTCTAAGTCCGAAATCTTCTTCCCTATCGTGTAGATCATTTTCATCGTAATGTTCTCGAACTTAGCTTTCCTGACCATTTGAATTTCGAAATTCCTGCACGTCTCTTCCAATATCGCAATACCCGTAAAGCGAATCACTCTATCGCCCTCGTATACAGCCCGCTTATCCATGAACTCCTTATCCGTGTCGAGGTCAATCGAGATGTTTAGCCTCTGCTTCTGAACCTTATTGATCTTGGAAGTGGTTATCAGTCTAAAGCAGGCGGTGATATTTAATTTTTCCTGCTCCGGTTGGATCCGATGTGAGGTGGGTTCTATTCTTGCAAATATTTTTACAACAGGATATGCCTTGTATAGATAAGAGGCCTCGGCGTTGGGAGCTCCGACAACGAAATCGTTGAACCCGTTGCCATCTACATCCGATCCACGGGATAAACCGTGACCAAACATGTGTGCTCCGTAAACGGAAGCTTGATGGGGAGGAGCATCCAGTCGCTGACTCGGCTGATCCCGCAGCCCATCCTTGTTGCCCAGGTAGATTAGCACCGATCCGTTTCCGGCAAAGGGAGCTCCCACGGCCACGTCTGTATCAAGATAACAGTATTCATTTTATTTTGTACACTCCATATTTTTAAAATAGGTGTGCTAGTAACCCACCGTTGTAACCATCTTGATTGATGTCGCCTATTTGCGATAGAGTAGTTCCAAACCGCCCCTTACTGCCCACTGGCGAATGAATAATCGTGTGGTCAAAAGTAAGCTGAAATAATAATGCGGAATTAGTCAGCTACAATCTAGGAATACGAATATCTAAAATATGACTTCGAAAGCATTACTCACAGAGCCATTGTTGGTAAAAACATAGATGGCCCCGTTGTCGTATGAATCCTCCAAAGCGTGCTGGGGCGCAGAAATGATAAGGTCGGGTTTTCCGTCTCCATTGAGATCCTCTACCAAAACGGAATAGCCGAAATATTCGCCAAACTGCCCTCCACGGAAGTTGGCGAGGTTTTGGATGGACCTTCCTTCATCTTGATATTCAAAGATGTAGGCCTCACCGGATTTATTGTTGGCGTGAGGAGCGGTGGCCACATAGAGCAGTTTTTTGGGGTTTGAGCTGTCGAAGTAGCCGGAGCTAACGGCGTATCCAAAGTACGAGTCCTCCTCTTGGTTCCAGTTCTTTCGCTGCGGTACGTGCCGTCTATAGCGGTGAAGTTCTCTACTCGTGTCACGCACCAACCGATTTCCACCGGGTTCCTGGTTTTCTGGATTCAGATACACCGAGCCCCTAAACATATCGATTCCTGGTGCTCCCATTACGAGTGTCGAGGCCTTCGACACGTGTGCACTGAGTCCGAGTTGCCCCATTTGATAAAAGGGCTTTGTGTCTTCGCCAATTGTCTCAGTCTGTTTATTTCTTAATGCGAATGGACAGATATCCGTGACATCCGGCTCCTCCTCAGTTGTGTCCTTCAGCCAGTAGCAGATTCCAATCATGGAGATATTAGCTGCGGTTTTGGTATCGGAATCATACTTCCATCCATCACGTGTCACCTCTGTTGCACTGTGGAATCGCGGGGCACATACAAGGAACCTATCCGTATCCAGAATGCCACCATCCATCGATCCGCCCATCCACTGAAAGTCCTTGCCCTTGGCCCGGAGGACATCCGTGCTTGCCTTTTCATAATGGTTGCCCTTATTATCTACGTCATACGAAGTGCAGCTACCGTCTTTGAAAAGGCATCTGAAGATCGCACCAGGCTCGATGACTTTGCTCTGATCGGGATAGGTGGAATTCGCACGAGGAGCTGCCACTATTATACTGCCGTGTCATATAAGTAAAAGAAAGAGTGGTTTTCATATCGTTATTTAGCAGGAAAAACCATTTATACAACACATGTCATTTAGAATCATCCTCGTTGCGTCATTGATCACTATCAAAACATGAGTAATACACTTTGTGAGTAAATATAAAACACATAAGCATAAGCTTTCGGTCTACAATCAAGAATGAATAATTTTTAAGTCTAGTCATATTTGTACTAAAAACAAGAACGAATTTTTAATAAAGTAAGAAAGTAGCAGGCATGATTCAAGGACGAAATAATTAATAAATATATTGTAAATTTAAATTGGGTAAATTATTAGCTAGTTAAAGAAGAAAGTATTGGAAAATGAAAAAAAAAAAAAAAATTGGTTTATATCTAAATTACATTAATATTATAAGCTGACTTACGACTTGCCGCTCACTTGCATTAACACTATGTATTTTATGCGCCTTATATACCAAGGACTTTCAGAATATGCAGCTGGGAATTTTTAGTATTGACAGCTATTTAAATCCAAATTGTGCCCATTTTAAGACCTGTTTCAGTACGAACGGTCTTACAATGGTAAGCATGAAATCGTTCTTAAATCAAGACTGTTTGTACTTGATTCTAGCAAGGTGTTTTTCCCTGAGTGTTCTTATCAATTTTATTATTACTAGCACTAATAACGAAAACGGAAGCTAGCCTCGGCAAGACAAAGTTTAAATACTTTGGCAGACTTTAATGAAAGTTACTAAAATGGAATGGATGCGCAAAGTAGCGAGGAGAATGCAACGGACGGACAGGCGGACATGGCTAGTGATCCTAAACAGGAATATATATACTTTATAGGGTCGAAAACGACTCTTTCACTGCTTCTAACCAATATTATAACACCCTCTGCAAGGATATTGTGGCTAAGAGGCAAACAATTCAAGCCGACTTGATGAAAAATAATGAATATCTTGGATAGACCCTTACTAAGAGGTTATACTGCTATAATAATTCCTTTTTGAAAAGGAATCAAATTATAGAAAATCAATACATAGCCTATTCTAAAAATGTTTATTTTACAGTTTTTCAAATATGGACTAAATTCAACAATGCTACAGCGTCCGACGCAACTCACACAAAACTTTAAATGGATTTTCCCAAGAATCACAATTCTGAAGTCAGTAAACACTTTGGTGGCATATCTATCAAAACTCTTTCTAGAAAACAAATACTAAAAATTTTAAAATTTTTTTTTAGAACAATAAAAAAATGGAAAATAAATGAGATCAATAGTAAAAATACTTGTTTTTTAGACGATTATGTTCTTGTAGCATGAGCCCGACAATAATGTCGGGATCTGCAACTCACCTTCTCTCTCGAATGACGAGCGAGTATCCAAAGTAAGAGCTACGGCCATGTTCTACTTTGATTGAGCTCGGATATAAGAATGTTTGGATCGGATGTGGCGATATATTGAATGCTTCGATTTGGCATCGAAGTCCCAAACATACGAGAAGCAGAAGGCGGTACATTTTTGACTTAACCGGGAATATACCAGGACGAATATGTTTAAACAGCAACCTTACGCATTTATAATTTTTTTAAATATATTATTCTTTAGAGTCTGCGACCGAACTCTTTGGAAACTTGAACCTAAATGAAGCGATATAAAATGAGTGGCTGCAGTTTAATTGGAAATTTTGTGACACTCAGAGTTATTTAAAGATGTGTATAAAAACAATTTAAATATTTTATAAACATGAGAGAACGCTAAACTCGAGTGGCTCGACTATCAGATACCGTTACTCAGCTAACCAACTTCAAAACAAATGTACCTTATAAAAACATGGATCTTCACATTATATTTACTTTACATTTTACCTTTTTTTTATTTTTGTGACTTAATGGACAATGATCTTGCTAGACGGACGAAAAGTTCTTACCTATTCCTTCAACCAGTTACACATTTTCCGACGAATCTAAAATACCCTTTTACTCTACGAGTAATGGGTATAAAATTTAAATCTTAGTCTTCCAACTGCACATGCTGCAAATATCTTTTTAAAAATTTCTTAAAGTTTCATTTATTATTCATCTCTTTAATACTCTAATATAATACAATAATAGGTTCTTATCAAGCTGTTTCGGCCTAAGATAACCTAATTTCGTTTTTACAATTTACATGTTAGGAAAGTCTTTTACGTCGCCATGTAAAGCTACCTTTACAACATCATTACAATTATGATTAATTAAAATAAATATATACAACAAATGGCAACATGGCTATAAATAAGTTGTAAATTATAAATTACAAGGCATTTAGCTTAGAAATAAAAACCGCAAGAACATTGTATGTCTCGCGGTTCCCAGTTTGCACGTATATCCTATAAGGTAGATTTTTCGTTAATCGCTTTTCGTATTTAGCTCCTTGTTAAATGCATAAGAACACACTTAGTGGGTAGTTTTCCCGTTGTGAAAATAGGATTTGGTAACTGGTTCATCCATTTTGAATGTGATGTGTGCGGCTGAAGAGTGCCTCCGCCGAAGTTAGTTGTTGCCGCCGCTGTTGAGGTTCTCCGCCTCCGGCTCGACGGGATTCTGCTGCACCAACCTGTCCAACTCGTCCTTCTTGGTGCGGTTGAAGAATCCAAGCTATTGAAGAGAGAGAGGTGTTAGTCAGAAACATAGGACTGCCCATCGAACTACCCACTAACTTACCTTGTATAGAGCATAGCTTATCGCGGAGAGCAGCAGCAAGCCACCGAGTACGGATACAATTATGATCCAGATGGGCGTGTGGGCCTCCAGATGCTTGGATATTATATTCGGTGCGATCCTTTCATTTATCGAAAACGAACTGGAAGTGGGATCCCCCTTCTTGGTCACCTTCAGGTCGGTCAGGATGACAAAGAACTCCCAGGGATCCATCAGAATGTCATTCACCTCGTTCAGATCCACGCTGTAGCGGATGTTCAGGTTGATGGACTTCTCCGGCCTAAAGTGCACCTTCATTTCGGCCCGTACACAGATTGTCGTCTCGGGATCCCGGCAGTTGAATACAATGGTGCGATTAACCGGTAGCCTTCCCTTGAATTCCTCGCTGAGCAGATCGTGGGCCTTGACATTGGAGAGGCGAGCATTTTGCTCGCGATTCGCGGCCAGGGCCCTGAGATCCCGACGCCTTCGGGTCATGGAAGCCGTGGCCACCCTATCGGTATCGAGTATCTCCATGGTCTGGTGCACATGTCCACTGCTGTGGATGTCGTAGCTCAGTCCGTGGGACTGGGTGATCACAGTCCGCTCCAGGCCCCCGCTGAGAGTGGTGGCCACCTCAATGGGGTCCACAAGGAGCAACGTGTTGTTCTGGTCGTACAGATCGATGCCCAGCAGCTGGGAGTCGTAGGTGGCCTGCATCTTCAGGCTGGTCATATTGATGATGGGTCTAATGGCATTGGATCCAGCCACCTTGTCTGCGACGGGTATATAGAAGGAGATGGTCAACTGCTCGATCACACTGGGCCCGTTGCTCTTGATCTCGTAGTTGTTGATGATCTCCGCCGAGTTGCTGTAGTGCTCCAAATCGATTTGGTTGTTTGTCTGACCACTGAAAATGATCAAGGAATATTAATACAATTTTTATGAATTGTACTAGCTTTATTACACCCTACCCGCTGGCATCGATTTCGGTGAACTCCTTCAGGCCGATCACGTTCGTCTGCTTGTTGTCCGTGGGATTCTTCTCGTACCCCGTGCTGAACACTTCTGCGTAGATGATCAGCGACTGTCCGCTGAGTTGGCTCACATCGAAGCTGATGGTGACGGAGTCGCTGTCACCCTTGGCCAAAGGTCGTCCGCGGTTCAGGTCGCACACCATGACGGCCTCGACGACCTTGCAGTTTCCAGGGACCTGGGCAAAAGCCAGACGGGATGTGCTCGTTACGTTGAATTGAGGAAGGTAGGCGGTCTCTCCAGCGTTGGTGATCTCGTAGTTGATACGCAGGGTATCGGCACTTCCCAATATATAAGTAGGGCTATGGAAAGTTCGAAGAAGGCGGTATAAGTCACAACTCCGTTAAAAACTTCTAGTAGTAAATTACTCATAAATACCCATGAGTGCACCGAATGTGCGTCACTCACTGCTCAAACATACATTGATACATTTTCAAAAACTACACTACTTAACAAAATAAAATCGAAATTACTTTATAAGGAAATTCTTTTTTAAGTTAAAATATCGTTTTTCGTTTTAAGATTTATTTTTATACCGTATCTAAACTAATTATCCATTCATCCTATACAATATTATTTTTTAGGCAACAAATATTTTGTTTTTTTCGAAATCTAACTGTTTTGTTCCTTGTTTTAGAAAACATTAACTGCACAGACAAGAAACAGCTTAAAATATTATTATGTCTCTTACTTACAAGAAGAATGCCATTTCTAAATAAGTAGAATTTAGAAATAGAAAAACTCCTACCATGCCCTTGCTATTGGTCACTCTGATATATACATACCTCACATTCTTGCTCCTCAGCTGCAGATCTGCGGTGCAAACGTCGGTGGCACAGCCCGTGCTGAAGATAATCTTCTGCGTGGAGACCGTTGGTTCCTGTGGATCCACAACCGCACACGTTTCGCAAAACTCTGTTGAGGGAGACTGAGTTAGTGACTGCATTTATTATCCCATTTAGCTCAGTACTTACCGTCAGAATCAGGAACCTTCTTTGTCAGTTCGTAGTGCATCTCCAGATCGATGGGCGTGAATATGTCCTTCTCGCTGTAGCGCACCTGGGCCTCGAAGACCCGGCACTGCTCGCCGAGACCAGCGTCCGCCTTGAAGCTCATCTCATTGGTCTGCGTCTGGACGAACTTGACCCGCTTCAGCTGGGTGTCGATGGCGATTCGGATGGCCAGCTCCTGCTGCTGCACATCCCTCGCCGTGGAGCTGGTACTCAGTCTGTAGCAGGCGGTGATCTTCACCTTGTCCTGCTCCGGTTTGATCTCCCGCGACTCCGACTTCACTGTGGCATGGACCTTCACGACGGGATAGGCCTTATACAGGTACAGGGCCTCGGCGTTGGGGGCTCCGATGGCAAAGTCGTTGAACCCGTTAGCATCTATGTCCGATCCGCGGGAGAGGCCATGGCCGAACATGTGGGTTCCGTACTTGGAAGGTTTATGGGAAGGAGCATCCAGTCGCTGGCTAGCCTGCTCCCGCAATCCATGTTCGCTGCCCAGGTAGATGAACACCGATCCGTTTCCGGTAAAGGGAGCTCCAACTGCCACATCTGGAAAAATGGAAAATATTAGTGAGTATATCTCAAAATTGGTAATGATTCCCTGAGAAAACCCACCATTGTAGCCGTCGTGATTAATGTCTCCCAGACGCGAAAGTGTGGTTCCGAAACGAGCCATAGTCTCCACTGGGGAACTTATAATCTGTCTCTCAAAGTTGAACTGCAACGATAAGGCGACATTAGTCATTATATATCCGGAAACGCTCCTTATTGATTACTCACAAAGCCTTTGTTGATGAACACGTAGATTGCCCCATTGTCGTGGGAATCCTCGAGAGCGTGCTGAGGCGCTGATATGATGACGTCCGTCTTGCCGTCTCCATTGAGATCCTCCGCCAAGACGGAGTAACCGAAGTATTCGCCAAACTGCTCGCCACGGAAGACGTGGTACTTGTGGATGCTCTTGCCGCGAACATCGAAGATGTAGGCCTCGCCGGACTGCTTGTTGGCCTGGGGAGCGGTGGCCACGTAGAGCAGGGTGCTCGGGTTGGTGCTGTCGAAGTAGCCGGAGCCCACCGCATAGCCGAAGTACGAGTCATCATCCTGGCCCCAGTTATTTGGGTGGGGTATCTCCGGTGCATAGTGCTCCGGCGTGTATTCGCTGGTGTCCACATCGCGAATCTTTCGCCGGAGCGCCCTGCTCGTGTCACGTCTGCTGGCAGTGGGATTGTCCACGGGATCCACCTGCCGGTAGAGAATCACCGATCCCTTCCACGTATTGATGCCAGGTGCTCCGATCAGGAACTTGGAGTTGTCATCCGCCACATGGGCACTGAGTCCCAGTTCGCCCATAATGTAGAAATAGCTAGAGACGCCGTTCTCCTGCTCCTTCACTTGATCCGATTTCAGGCGGAGTGGAGAGATGCGGGTCACGTGCCCCGGAGTGCTGGCCACCGTGTTGTTGATCCAGTAGCAGACTCCATGCATAAAGTAGTCCCGGGGACCTGGCGCATAGAATCGCGGGGCGCACACCAGCAACTTATCCGTATCCCTCGTGCCGCCGTCCATGGCTCCTCCCAACCACTGGAAGTCCTTGCGCTCCGAGTCGAAGGTGTACTCGTTGTAGGGCGCATCCACGTTTCCCCGAGGATCAAGGACATACGGACTGCAGGCTCCGTCTGTCAGGGAGCACCTGTAGATCGCACCCGTCTCATTGATGCTCCGTTGCGACTCCAAGGTGGACTGCGCCCGCGGAGCTCCCACAATGATGCTGCAATCGCAGGTAAAAATGGAAATATTTGGTTTTTAAATTACTCATCTATCGCAATTAACTTTTACTATTAAGAGCATTTTATGTTAGAAACAAATATGTCTCACTCAATATTCCCCAAACAAAAGTTGTATCAAATTATAGCATTTGTATCATTTGAAATAAAAATTGGTTGAACGAGAACTGAAGTTAACTTTGGCAAGCCGAATAGCCTTTAATAGCCTTTCAAATTACACGAACTAAGATGTAAATGTAAAGTGTAAAGTGTAATGTGAAAATATTATAAATACAAGAGCTATAGGATATAGACGTTCGATCCGTGTTCTAGCTTGACCTGTGACAATAATTTAAAATGTAATGAAACTATTATAATACCCATTACTAGACGAAAAAAGTTTATATCCTTATATATTCGTAGGAAAGTAAGTCACAGATAGACGCTTCTGACCCCATAAAAAAAATATACTTGTTCAATATCAGTAGCAGAGCCGATAAAGCCATTTTAAATTTTATTTAACTTCGTAAATGTCAGATATAGGAAAAACATTTTCAGCTACGTCTCAGCCGGTAGGTAGAATTTTAAAGTGTAAAATGTAAAGTAGATACAAATCTTAAGATCTTTGTTTCTCGCCTCTAATCAAATATATTCTTATTGTAAAGATAGGTAAGAGAGAAACGGGTTTATCAAGGTCAGTGCATTTTAATATAGCATTTGTTCCTGTATATTTTCTTTTAATTAAAGGAGATTTATTATACTGATTTAAAAAATGCATTTGCAAATAGTAATGCTCTCAACATTCTCTTAACATTTGCCAAAAAACAATTCACGAGAATCTATATGGAATGATATTATGAGATAATTATTTTTTATCAACATCACTTTATTCCCAATAATTTTGGATAGCAAAAGGCCACCTCAAAGGCGAAAAAATAATTGCACACAAAGAAAATTTGTATAAATATCAATTTGATATTGTAATGTAGGGTTATATAACTTCTGTACTAGCATTATTGAAATCGAGTGATATTATTGAAATAGCTAGTTCAATTTGATTTATTTCAACCCAGATAAATTTTGTATTTAAATAGCATCAATTGTAAAATTTGTTCTGAGTGTAGCGATTTTGCTACGCTTGCTTTATTGGTATTAGTCAGACATTGAAGCCCATTTGTTGAGTAGGTATGTCTCATCTATTACTCGATTTTTTCGCCGAATCCAAAGTGGATCGGCTTGACAATGGAAATTCGATAAGATGTAGAGGGTCGAATCAACCTGAATTTGCTTTCGTTGCAACATAGCTCCCGGTCAATATGTTATGTGCATTATTCTTAGCGGATTTTTACTGTGACAGCGGCAATCTTATCGTGAATCGTTAAAACGAAGCTAGCAACGCTGGCTGATAACAAATTGGCATTGACGATTGGCGTTTCGTTGTTTCTAAACGTTGCATACCGAACTCCGCCCTAAATAGCTGACTTATTAAGCCAACAAAGGTTTGGACGTGCAGCGTTGCAGTTATTTGCACAACTCCCAACTCGGAAAATATACAAACGGTGGCCACTGAGCTTGATATCTCCATAAAACCATATAGCATATATGTACATATATACCATAGGTTTTATGTGCTTGACTTCACCTCCTCGCTATGGGCAGATAATTGATATTAAGAGTATGACTTCATCGTTTGCACAAGGCATTAAGTGTACGGAACTTATTTTTTTGACACTTTTTTTAGCTTTTGCTGCCGGAGTATTTTCAAAAAAGTTCATTCAATTTTACAGCTACTATTCGATTGGCGTTTGCGAACGTGAATCATCATCACCGCACAACCTGTTTACTCCCCGTTGGCTTTGGAGTGGGTAAATCGAAGATGCGGGAGCTGGATGAGATGGTCGGGGAGTGGGACTTGGAGTCTTACCCATTGGGTCGCAGGCTCATCGTGAAACCGAAATATGACGCACGCACTTTGGGCAGGCTCGTAGCGAACTGGGGATCCGAAATCTGCCTGTTGGGCCGCGGCGAGAGGTTGAATGCATCGGAGTGGCTGGAAAGGCACACAGTCAGCACCACCGCCACCAGCACCACCCAGAATTCGCGACCTTGCCGCGCCATTTATGCACTTTTGCAGCACCACAAAAGTTTACAGTCTTTAGACCACGATTATTTAACTGGTTAATGCTTCGCCACGCGATCGTCGACTGAATATTGTATTATCACTTTCGTTTTATTGCCTCAACGCGAAGCTGCTGCACCGGATATGGATTGTGTGCGGAACCGTCCCGATCAAAGTTTTGTGAGAGACTAACCGAGCAGTGCTTCCAGACCGACCTGCCGACCATCTTAGCACTCGGCAGAGACGACGACGAGAGAGCCAACGAGTTACACTTTATGATCAGTGGCGGATTAGGTACGTAAAATTAAAAACGTATGCTCAGGCCCCGCGCATAATCTTATCTAACATTAATTTGTCCCCGCTGTACGTTTAAAAGTCGCTTAATGGTCACCTAGGGTCATCTGTCGAAAAAAATCATGAACATTTACAAACACCTTTTTTTATAGTTCCAAACCTTTTAAAAATGCATTATATTATACAATATTATATTTAAAATATAATTGTTTTAATTTTAAATGTTAAATTCACAATTGAAAATAATAAGTATAACTTGTAGTGTTAGATGAAAAAATAAAATATATAAATACCGAAAATATAAATATTTAAAGAGAAAAAACTAAACTAAACTAAAACTAAACTAAAAGGCTATAATATTATCATAATATATTGATATTCATATACTTATTTCAAATGTTGATACATTAATTAAGATGAGCAATGGTAAACAAGGACCCCGAGACACAATTTTCTAAGACCCCGCGCTGACTAAATTCGGCCCTGTGTTGATACTCGAGGTATGGTATCCAAAAGGTGAGAGAGAGAACCGCTCTTTTTGGCCAGGCTTACTCACGTTACCGTTGGGGTTCTCGTGGGAGGGGCATGAATACCATCTTCAAAACGCTTGCCTCGCCGTATTTGCACTTTTCATGGGTGCTACTCCAAATTAAAAGTTATAAAAAAATGTTTGTTTTTTAAGCAGCCAAACAAATGTGACTCATAGATAGCCCTACTGATAAAGCTAGATCACCAAACACATTGAAGAGAAAATCCGAGGTAGCTGTCTAAAAGTACGTAAAACTAAACAAAATGCAAAAACATAATTTTAAAATATGTAAGCTTTAAAACATTTTTCTAATTCCCATTTGTTTTCCCTTTAGTTCTTTATGTGTCATACCTCTTAGTTTGAATGTGTAAAAATAAAATTACAATTTCACTTACAAAAAAAACAAGTGTTTTTTAATCAGCCTGGTTGACTCATTCATGGTAGACCCAACTGATAGGATATAGAGTTACCATTCAGATAGGCAAAGTCATAAGAAAAGGAGTTCGCATAAAAATATAATATATTATCTTTTAGAGTGCAAGTGTAAATTCTGTAAGACGCCGGTGTTAGTGTTTAATTAAAGATAACCAGCTATTATTTCTTCTATACTAAGACCTACAATGCAAACAACATGATATCCACAATTTATTTTCCCAGGCCTCAGCTTGACCCTTAATAGGTCGTTGATTTACTTTTTATTATTCATACATCTGCATCAATATACCAGTTTTCCCCGGAACGAATCTCTGGCTTAGTCAGTTGGACACTGGATGACTCACAAGACATGCATTTTTTTCCTGGCCTGATTTCCGTCGTAACTTTATCCGCAAGACGGCGCGAGACAAATAGTTTGAGCTTAATTGCATGCGTGAAAAACGGCAATCACAAAGAAAATGTCAACAATTTGAGTTGGGCCAGTAACAAGTACACGTCACTTTGGCTACCTGATCCATAAATTGTTTATGCTAAAAGTAAAACAGTCAGCAAACATTTGTTTTCACTACGATGGCGGCGAAGAAGTACTGAAATTTCGGCGTATCTGAGCGGTTATACAAAGTACGGGTTGTCGCTTACGTATTTCCCCAAGACGTGACTCATGACCATGTAAACCATGTCTCGCACACGCATCTGCCCCCATACCATCCCCATCGCCACTTTGGCCCTGGCCTTTGTGCATAAATACAGCAGTGTCCAAGAAGGTGGAACAAAAGAGATAGTTTTAGTAAACTTCAAACACTTTTATTTAGTTTATAAAGTAATATGCCAGTTTATGTAACCTTTATATGGACACTAAATTTGTATTATTTAAATAACAAATTTAAAAAAATATCTCATTCAATATCGTTAATAAATTGTTTTCATTCATAGACAATAATAAAAAAAATTTTAGATGGTTCGTACAAAAAGTGGAAGAAATAACTTTATTGTAAAGCTTTAATATTGATACATTTTTAAGCAGAGCCGTTTATATGCGAGGCTATATCACCAGTAATATGTATAATATTAAGTTTTCTTTGATTTTAAATTATTTTATTAACATATATATACATATATATCATATATATATATATATATATATAATATATATATATCATAAAAAAAGAGTTTAAACAAATATTTCAGAAAAACATTGTTTTACAATTTAGAATCTATACTATAAATATTATCTTACTTCTTTTTGTCCCTATTAAATGATTTTTAAATCATAATTGTATAAATGTTTAAACTTTTTTTATATGAAAATCTAAAGTTCCGACAGTTTATGTAAGTTCTTGAGCAAAAGATTGGCGAGGGGCGGTGGCGCTTTGTTTAAATGCCAAACAAGGAGCATTCATCTGTTTATGTGTGCGGACAATAAGCCATGTTACGGACCACACAAATCTCCCCCGCCATCTCCATCTCTAGCCCCATATCATCCAAACAAAAACAAAGAATCGCTGCAGCTTGCGGTCATCAAATGTTAAGAACAAAAGCCACCATGCTGCACCGTTTTCCGTTGTGGAGTCTTTGGTTTTGTTTTTTTCGGAATTCGGTTTAATGACCAAGAGTAAGACGGCTAAAAATATTTGTGTGTGGTGTCAGCTGAACGGGGGACCTCCTCGGGGGAGGGGTGCTGGGGTTGAGGGTGGGTCTGCAGACACCATCGCCTCCAAATCGGATTGGAAACATTTGTGACTCATTTCGCCAGAATGCAAGAGTTGTTGGGCAACAGTGAGTGAGTGCAGTCTTTCTACACTTACATCCATTTCATTGGGAAACCTAAACAAGCCTTACAGTATTTTTTTGTTTCAGCCAGCTTCAATTGATGTGAAATAAATTACGGCTTGTCGTGATTTTACGCGCAATTTCCGTACATAATTAGGCGCACTTCGTAATGGCCAACAGCCATGGGTATTTTGGGCTTTAAACTGCTGGCGATAAAAAAAAACAGAGAGGGGAAGTGGGCACTGTAGAGGAAGTTCCAAATTACCCATCCAGGCTTATGGAAATAAAATATGGTCAAGAGTCAGGTCGTTATGATCACGTACGAGTGCTGCATTCTAACCAGGTTTACTGATTGCCGAAACAAAATAAGATATGGATGTACTCGACAAATGAACAAGCCAAAGTGCTGATTCTGAGGCTGTGACCTGAATTTTGACAGAAGGAACTTTGGAACTTAAATATTCAAGATACACTACAACACCGGATGGCATAAAAAATATTATTTGTGTTTTATCACTATTCCTTGTTGATAAGTAGTTGTGACCGAAACTCATGGGTAATTTTTCGAAAAGTATTTTTGGAATTAAAATATTTTATATAAAGAGAAAGAAAAGTATCTTTGGAATTAAAATATTTTAGAAACACTACAACACCTAATGACATATAAAAAAATATTCTTTGTGTTTCATCACTCTTCCTTATTGATAAGTAGTTAACTTATATTTTAAGACTGAACCTTAGGAATTCTTCGGAAAGTATCTGAAGAAGCGTATCTGAACTTCGATCCGAGCACTTTCTTCATATTCAATTAACTGTGATTTGTGGCGCCGGTTAAGGTGTGTGATGTCATTTCTGGAGCCCGTACTCCAAGCAAAAGTCGCCGCCATCGGGTCTACATATCATATGATATGTAGGTCGCCCCGACACACTAAAAAGTGTTCGGGTTTGTCAATTGTTCAAGACAGAGTCGCGATCTCTGAGATCTGTGGCGATTGTAACTGATGGCAATTGAAGTTGAAGTAGCCAGTTTTTTTGTTATTTCTAGAAATTTTGATCTCAAGTGGTATTGTTTCTGAGAGGTTTTCAAGCTGGGTTTTCGGTCCTGAAAGTCGAGATACCTCTGTGTGGAGTATCCATTTACGACTAGGCGAAAATAACATTTTAATTGCCGTACAAAGTGTTAAGTGCCAATAGAGCGCCCCAAAGCGGTACTAATTTTGCCGAGCTTCCCACTTCTGTTGATCCCCTTTCGCTGGCTTCAGTTTCCATTTCCGTGTGCCAGAAGTTTCAAAATATTGACAAAGGTGTTGGCTACGAATTGAAAGCGCTCGCTTGTCTTGTGCCAAGTCAAACATAAGATATGTGTGCCGGTTATCGAAATAAGTATAGAAGTTTCACACTCCCCGTACATGTATGCAAATATTTACAGCGACCTGAGGCAACTCACCTGGTTTCACGGATGACGAGGGTGTATCCAAAGTAGGAGCTGCGAGTTTGGTTTAGATGGAACTTCAGATGGGTCGGGGAGTTTATCGCCCTGATGGGTCGCGGCATAAAATTGAACGCTTCGATTTGCGCGGGCAGGGCCAACAGAGCGAGGAATACGATGGAAAACATTTTCGACTCAACAACTTTCATTGGAACTCATCAAAATTAAGTTTTCGCATTCGTAATTCCCTAATTTCGCTTGAAATCACCCCGGCTCCTCTGGGGCCAATAAATCACAATTGCGCCAGAGAGCCACACCACTAAAACAGGATCCGTCGCCGCACTCACTTATTTATGATTTATTGAATTTAATTGAAGCACTCACACACCCGAGATCGCTATACCGCGGCGTTCTCTCGAAATTATATAAATTTAATTAAGCCCAGCCGGCTTTCGCCATGCTCTCGCGAGATCTAGCTTAAAATCGGGCAGAACTTGTTTTTCTGTTGTCACTTTTGCCGGCGACAAGTTGTTGTAAACCACACGCTATAACGACTACTGGACCATACTATCTGCATTTATGCATAGTATATAGCATATATAAAGTTTTATTTCCGCAACTCTGGTCTACAGGCGAGGCAGAGATCAGTGGTGCAACCGAACTTTGGACGTTTTCACTCTCCGACGACTCGAACCGAAATGAACTGAACTCAAGTGCTGCAGCAGACTTGGACGGCCGACGATTCCGCGGCGGTGTGTCCACCACCACGATGGTCGAAAGAGAGTTTCTAATCTGTGAGGGCACTGATATATTTAGGTACCCGAAGATGTGTGTATATGTGGGTACATCTGCTTGGAGGTTTTTCGATATTTCTCTCTAGTATTATACAGATTTATACTTATGCTAACAATTACCATGATACGTAAACAAAAAAATGTTCTTGAAATCCATTAAGAACTGCAGAAAACTCACTATTAGCGTATTATTAAGATTTTTTCATTCATTTTGAATAGAAATTAAAAAAAAATACCAAAATGTATTAAAAATTCCTGCATAGAGAGAAATATTCAAGTACATTGTTCTTGAATTGAGAACATTCGTTCTTGAAAGCCGTGTAAGTACATTTTGGTATTAATTTTCTCAATATTAGTTTAAAATATTGAGAAGAGAAAAGTTAAATTCAGTTATTTTAACAATTTTTTAATAAGTATACTACTGACTGGGCCAAAAGTATAGTTGTTGAGATATACAATGTAAATAACGCCAGTTCAACATGATTCAAGCACAATGAAAACATTTTTCACTTCAAGAATTTCCTTGGTTCGTATTTCGTTTTTATCATAAATGGGATTTAGTTTGAGAACATGCCAGGCTGATATTTTGAAGGCGAAGGTACATTGAAGTAGGTACAGAGGCTCTTTTTGTATAAACTCAAAGCGCATTCGACCATTTAGGTGGTGGCTCTCCTTGTTCGGAACGCCACTTGCATTTACACTCCCCCTACGCGATTGCTGCACACAGGCGATGCACATAAATAAGTGAACGCCCAAGTGCGAGGGCCTGGGTAGAAAAAAAAAAAAGCAGCGTCGCCTTCTCGCCGCCTGTCACCATGGAGTTCCAACAGGGAGCCGTATTTTATTATGAATACTTATTGAGGGATCTCCGAAGGGAAACAGGCATGCTTATTTGTTCCTCATCGTGTTGTATATTTCGTTATAATTAATATTTACCATGCTCTTTATGCAGGCTCATCAAGATCTGCAGAGGGAAAAGGAACAAATTGAGGTTTTAATTTGAGGATATTTAGCTATTATAGAACCATTTGTTGTTCGAAATTAGTTCTCATCTTCATATATAATTTTAATTCAACCACATTACTAGGAGTCCAACTAAAAAGTCATCTTTTAAGGCTCATTAGTGAAAGTTTAACAAAGAAAGATTAGTTATACTTATTCTTTCCTTATCATATTACAAATAATTTATCTTTAAAGCATAAGTAAGAAGTTCCATTACCATCCAATTTAAACACTTCCTATCTGACATCTTGAAATGGATCAAACATCAAGATATTGTCAAAAATTTCTCTGAGTGATTACTTTTTGGGTTGGGGTTGGGTTCCATTGGAAACGAGGAGCATATGGCGGGCATAAAGGATGCCGATCTCGTTTCCCAGGCGAGTAGCCACCCGAATTGAGCGGCTTACTGCTGTCATTGAACTTGGCTGCAGGCCCTGTTTGTAGAGCAATCAAACTGCTTATCAGCTGGGCCTAGGGCAAATATGTATACTACACATGCGTTATCCACTCAGCGCATTGGGGTAGGTTGGGTGGTGACCGCAATTTATCAACTTTACGATTCGATGACATGAAATTGAGCCCGGCACGCGGGGTTCAGGGGTTCGGAGGCCCAGCGGTTCAATTGGATCAGCAGGGCAGTACTTGAGTTGACTTTTCCCCCAGGCTGATAAGCTGGAAAACTGCGCTTAGATCGCTGCGTGTTTGTGCCTCCGAGTAATTGATTTTCAACGCAGGCACAGGCAGTCCAGACCGTTTATCAAGGCGAATGTAAAACAATAAAAACTAATAAAACAAAAGTGGGGTCTGAGGTCTGAGGAAAAGTCGCTGCGACCGATAAGCGGAACTACAACTGCAGCAGATTACCGCCATAAAAGTCAATTCACAAGTCGTCGAATGCTCCCATTTCGAGGCATAAATAAAATTCCTCTTAAGAGTTCCAAAATCGAATGCTAGTCAGGGTCTTGAGTAAACAGCAGCAAGTTCAAAAGGGCGGCTAATTCGGTTCCCCAACGCCGCGTTGCTATTGAAATGCGCAATTAAGCGCTCGCCAGGCGATTCGACAGCAATTATGTGTTGCTGCCCCGCGGCAACACGAGTGCACGCCAGCAACAGCAACGATTGCAGCTACCCAGCGACCCAGCGGCAACATGGCACCTGCTCTTCGTGGGCGAAGGGGGGCCACGCCCATTACCAGGCGCATAATTGAAGTTCATGACCCCCCTGCTATCGGGGGCAGCTATTTCTGGCGCACATCCCACATCTCCAGATGCAGGCGGCACAAAACAGGGTGCAAATTGAACTGTTCCCGGCCTATGAAACGCATCAAATGGGGGAGCTGCCCTTGAAATGGATCGCTCCCAGTGGCAATCTGTCGTTACACTTGGCGGAAGTTTCAGAGCCCCAACTTGTCACAACTGCTTTGTGTACGGCGGGCATTTATCAGTAATTTGTGATTATATTGTTGAATCGGAAAAGCAGCGTCATGCATCTCACAAATCAACAGTAGCAACGGTGGCGGAGCGATCTGCACTCGGAAATATTATAGTTCATCCTCATAATACTTACAAAACTTTAGTTATTTCGGTGTAAAGCAAGATAATCGTCTAAGGAAAGTTTTTATATCTTAAGCTACTAAGAGTATTTAAGGTAAAATCGATTTATATTTTACTACATTTATCTTTTCAAGGGAGTTGTAACGCTAAATTAGTAATGACTACATGATACTTTCTAGAATTTGTATCAACTGACTGTAATTATTTTTAAAAAGAAATGGCAATTTAGACAAAAAAGGCTCCACTACTGAAGAGTTTATGAATGTATCTATTGGATTTAAAATTTACATGTCAATAGATACGCCATGACTTCTTTAAATAAATCCAGTCAGTAAGTCGAGGCTTAAAAAAGTGTCATTTGGCTTTGAAAAAGTATCCTCAAATTCCGACGGAAGACAGTTAAATCTTTAACGTATTAGAAATTTTGTAGAAAAATAAATTATTTTCTTACTAATTCTTTAAAATTAGTATACTAACTACAAGATATATCATCATACAACTTTGAAAGATTTTTTTTTTAACTTTTTGTTTAGTTTTTCTTAGAGTGTTTATGGATATTTACCGAACCGGCGACGTGAGCTCGAGGCGTAGAGCTGCGGTGCCTTATTTGGACTTTTTGAGCAGGCATAAATGTCAAAAGGAAGTGTAAAAAAAAGCTGAACACGTCCGTGAATCAATGCAGGTGTTCAGGTGTTCACCTTCCCATGACGTCACCGATGCACGAATAATATGATAGAGGGGTTTGTTTACCAACCAAAAAAAAAAAAAAGTTTAATGCAGTTCAGGGAAAATAAAATTATTGCATATTAGTGAGGTGAACAATAAATCCCGGGTGAATAGCAAGGAAACGTTTTAAAAGCAGGGAGACAGTCATAAAAGTAATTACCGAAAACAACCCTTTGAAATTCGTGTTATATGGCATATAGCGCCGGCGACAGGTTAGGCCCATAAAAAGACCAGTCCGTAATTGATCTACTGGCCTAAATATCTGAGGCCGAATGAGAGGCAGACGCCGCCCACATAATGCCACCTTTCAAGCGAAAAATCGGTAATAAAGCAGCGTTACTGAAACACTTTCACTGAGTTGGAGTCATAAAGCAATGAATGAGCACAGAATATCATTCCGCTTCCCTTCCGGCTGTGAAGGCCTATCTGGTACTCTATCTCCATTTCCCCTCGAGTGCCGAACCCAACTGAAAATATATGTCAAGTGTGTAATGTGAGATGCGGGACCGCACTTTTCCAACTGGGAGTAGCCGTATGACATGTAAATGATACGCTAAACGGCAGTTTGAACCGTTTTGATCGGGTTTTTTTTCCTTTTTTTTGGCTCAGGGTTAGCCGAAAAGCAATCTCGTATTTCGAACCGCACAATGACACTCCAAATGGGCCATTCCGATCCGTAAGATCGGCGGTTGTAATTGTCATCTTTAGTGTCGCCAATGGCACTCGTTCGTTGCGCTTGGCACGTTGTCGTCATAAAACAATCAGACTATCTGTTAAATGCTCCTTACCCATCACATAAAATCAACGAGTGGCTGTCGTCGCCTGCCCAGAACATCCAGCTAAATTAAAATTCAAATCATGACCAACTTAGACTCCGCCCGGGCGTCTCTGGAGGAACTTGATTAGCTGCGGCTGCAGCTGCCGTTTGGTTTTTTTTCGGATTTGTGAATGCAAACTCTCAGCAAAGGCTTATTCCATCGTTTATGGTTTTTTACATAATTAGGTTTCAAATCCGGGGAAAGTATGCGTACTTAGGTACATAAACTCTTCTTTGTTTAAATAAATCTTTAAGTAACAAGATTTGAATTATTTCCAGAGTGAAAACTCCTTGAATTTAAGATGATAATTGGCCAGACATATACTATAATAGCATTGTTACGTCAAAAATCGCTAAATTTATGATGACACTCAGCTTATCTCTTCACAAATTTAGTGAGTATTTACTCACTACCAATTACCCGAAATCAAAATATAACAACAACTAACCTACAAGTAGAAAATGTCATTCAACAAACTAAAATAAGCTGTCCCCTTATCACTACACTTCGGATTTTCCATGTACTACAATTTAATTATTTATTTATTATTATTAGTTTTTAAGTTTCTAAGCCTAAAAGGGAATGTTTTTAAATCTCATCACGTTAAGTTTTTTAATGTATTCTTTTTTAATTAAGTTCAATTTTTTTTGGTTTTGCTTAGCTTTTAATTTTTAACCAATAGTGCGATTTTTCAAAAGTCCGTTACAGGGCGTTGCCAGATAATCAGGGGTGCCAGAAACCTAGAGGGCGCCACTGTGCTTACACGTAATGTAAAATACCAAGAACGGACAATCTATTTTTCAAATTGATGCCAACTGTTATCGGAATTCAAAATTGAGCCTCGTGAAAAGCCATTAAGTAAATCAATCTCTTTTATTAAATATTTAATTAAACATTTGTTTTATTTTAAGAATGTATGCTTACCTGCAAAACTTTGTTTTCGCACATATTTGTTTGCGTTACTCAACCTTGAAAACTCATCAAAAGTAACTCAACTGGCAGCACAGTGAGCGATCAAGGAAATGAGTCAGTCATCAATAAAACAATGCATTAAACTATTCCAGGGGCAGCACGTACTTAAACTTAAATATAAATAAACAGAATGTGTGGGCGATGGCGATCGGAAATGATTCCGGTTGCCAGAGACCAAACCCATGGGTACCAATATTCGTGGGTAGCTCTTGCCAAAATCAATTAACCATGCATGTGCCAATTGGTCAGCACTATCCATTACCAAACCGCAGCAGATCCCCGATTCCCAATTCCCGACTCTCTGTTCCCAAGCAAGTGCGTATGAATGGAGTTCGGCTACGAAGCACACAACCGACTGACGGCAGAGGATTATAAGGCGCTGTCTAGCCAATTGCAATGGCTTTACTTTGATGTAAAGTGCCGACAGCATGGCAAGCCTAAGCGGACTATTACACACAGCTCCCACACCCACACCACACACCCCACACCCACACCACACACCCCACACACACCTCGTACACCCCCTACACCTCATGGTACACATATGCACAGATAGCCCATGTGTGCTATGGAAATCAGTCTAGACACTGGCAGACGGCTTAATACAAAGCAATTTCTTTTTGTCATCGAATATCCTTGAGGCACCGCAAATTGCCGTCACTTAAGCTGCCCACGCCCACCTGGGCCACGCCCACCCACTGCTAAGTCTTGCCGCCCACTGGTTAGTACTAATTAGCGTGAGAAATGCCAAAGATTGAGATATGTAGCTGATACTAGCAATATTACGCATACGCCATGATGACGTACAGATTTGCATAATTAAAGGGGGAAATGGGTGTATTTATAGCCAAATTACTTCGAAGACCATTCATTCATTAATTTCCGCTGGCAGTTCAAATGTCATAGAACAGCGCTTTGATGTGCTTTAGACATTTGATTTATTCCGACAGCCGGAAACGAAAACAAGCCAAGAAATATGTGCTTTCGAATTTCATTCATAAAATCGAATTTCATGCCAATTGTGTTGTTCTTAGAAATCACATGCAATTTCAAGTACCTACAGCCGTCGTCACAACAATTTCGAATTTTAATAGTATAAGTTAATCAACTAAATTATTATTATTAAATTTATATCTTATCACGGAAATCAAAAATCTTAAATTAAGATGAAGAGTATTATAAAAACGTATACAATTTGAAGACTTCTGTGGAGCATTTGAAAAAATTACATAGCTAACTAGACAACTTTTAAATTTCTTTTTATATTTTTTTCAAAATTACAAAAATGAAAATTTAATTGTTATGATTTTTAAAATTATATAAGATAAGGTAAGACAAATAAAACATATAATTTAAATTTTCTTTACAAAAAAGGACTACATTAATTTATTATAAATATACAAGCTTAACATTTTCTACGATGCTTACTAATCAGAACAGCCCAGTAATCCATCCAATCATAATTAATAAATGCAATTCTTTTAATAACCTTAGAAATAATAAAAAATAAATTTGTTAAATTTAATGATCAATTTTCTAAGAAAGTTTGTGTGGAAATGAAAACATTGTGTTCTTTTTGTAAACAATATATAGAATAGCTATTATTTATGCTGACCAATGTAAAATGCATTCTGAAATATTTCCTGTGCCATTGGAAGGGTGAATGGCATTGGCATAGATATATCAAACCCGATTCGGCGATTCACTTGCCTCAAATTGTGGCCAGCAATGCCAATGTCTCATTAGATGCACTTCCAATAAATAGCCGGCGATGTGGCCACGGCATGCATCTGTATCTGTACCTGTATCTGTATCCGTTCCGGCCATCATTTGTGGGCTAAGATGGGCAGGTGGGCAGGTAGGGAGCTGTAGGGGGATCCAAAAGGCAAGGAGGGGCGAAGGTGGAGCGTGGTGGCCGCTATCAGCGAGCGGGCTTAATACGCGCCCAGCACGCCATTGCCCAATAAAACGCTCCGCGCCGTAATTGACGTAGAAATCCGCCTGGCAAAACTGCTCCTCGGCTGTCCAGTGCGGCGGCTCCCTCGTCAAATGTCTTCATTTTCATTTCCACATCCACATTTCCACATCCACATTTCCACGGGGCTGCTGGGCCCAGCGACATGCAGCTTGTGGCCCGGCTGCAAGTATCTGACAATTAGATCTAAATTATGACGCTGTTTGCACCATAAAGAAATCGTTTTTCTCGGCTGCCTGACTGCCGCTTTGCTCTGGCCAAACAATAGACAGTTAAGGCCGCAGATAAAGATATGTTTTCTATATGGCCGCGGCATGATTTCGCTGCATTTAATGAGCGCTGAGCTGGGGCTTTTGCTGTCGCCATTTTTGATGTTAAAAACACACGAGCTATTAACAAAAAACTAAAATGAGTGAAATGTTTTGTTTCTGAAGTCATATTGAAATCACAAAAATCTTAGTAATTGTCGTTTTGCATTTTGTTTTTTCCCCGGAACTACAAATCAGATTGTTGTTTCTGTTTTTATCAGAATAGCTGCGTAAATTTATAAGTACTTCCTCACCAGTCATTCAAAACTAAAACGTTGGACCCTAGTTTAAAAAACACTACACTAATAAAAAAATTAACTAGTATAAAAACAATTATCCGCATAATTAAAAATTACAATTTTATATTGAATAGTTAAATTACAACATTTTATTAAAGGTGGAAAATATAAGATACGAAGTTACTCAAATTTACTTTAAGCATTTTAGGGAATGTCATAATTAAATCAAATTTTAAAATCCAATTATTAAATATAGTTGGTAAATTTACTGTTTTTATTATTAATTATTATTTATGTATTATTTATTGTTATGTTGCTTATTTTAGTTGTTTCACATAACATTTTAAATGTTAAATTTCATTGATGATTTTATAGAAAAAGAAATTCGGTTAAAACGGTTGGAACATGTCCCTACAACATGCTGCGCAACATGTTGCGAAACGGTTTCAGCCGTTTCTCTCTCTCTTGCAACACTTTTTTAAAATTAAAACAAATTTTTTAAAGTTATTTGCTTTAGGATCATTCTTTTATGTTAAAAACAACAAATTTTTGAATATTGTTTTACTATCCTATTAATTTACATAGTTTTCTCTTATCCACAGCTGGTGGCACTATGCACTATGGGATAAAACAACGTCGTAGTCGTAAAAATTATAAACTTATTTAATCTTTGTACTGTACATAAAACTTTATAAAATGATATTTTGAACTTAATTTTTAATTTTCGTCATAAATAAAGTGTTCTTAAATATGCACTCTAAAATTATACAATATATTCTTTGTTGCTTGTAAAAAAACATGTTGGATTGAAAAAATAAATTTTGAGTTCTTAAATAAAATAATAGGTCATTTAATTATTTTTAAGTAATGACAAAAAATTATGATACATATTTTAAAAAGAACAACAGTCTTTGAGTATCTTAATTTTGCTAATAAACATTTAGAAAATATTGAGTTCGTAAAAGAAATAAAAGGCAATTTAATTATTTTTAAGTAATTACAAAAAATTATGATACATATTGTATTAAGAAACACAAAGTCTTTGAGTATCTTAATCTTGCAAATAAACATTTAAAATAGTACAAATTGCTGTAGACTAATTTCATATGCATATTAATTCCTTAAAATAGACTTATTTCGTGATTATAGTTTGGTTCACGAACCCACACCAAAAGTTCCACAAAATGTTTGCGCTTGCCCCATAGTGCTGCGCTTTGCCGCGGACGCCTCTTTTCTTACCTAAATGAGAACTTTGGTTTTCAAAATTCAGTCGGCTTTCGACCATCAGATGGAGCGCACGTCCCTGGTGCCCAGTCCAATGTAACAGGCGAAAACTAGTGCTGTGTCGTCCAGTTTCGTGATTCCAGAACCAGAACAGAACTGAATCGAAATCGGGGGAAATGGAAATGTAAATAAACCCGGTCAGAAAGTGTTGAAATTCGAAAACTCAGCGATAAGTGTGGATGGACAGAAGTGCGATCACCGGACGGCAACTTTTCATTTTGTTTTCGTTTGTGCAGAAAATGTTTTTATTTATTTTTTTGGTTTTCGTAAGCTTGATTCCTCGTAATACCTAAAAGTGTCGTTCTATGTGCACATACTCTCTGCATGTTGGCTAATTGCTGCTAATTTATTGGCAAACAAACACGTCTAAGTGCGAGAGATATTTCTAAAAAGGCAAAAATCGCTGCGGGCGACAGCTAAAAAGGTGAGTTCATAATTAAAACTCAGCTTGGAGAAGCTAATCCTCATCCCAGACAGACACCCAGCTATCATCTGGATATTCCGTTTCATTTTCATTAACCCCAGAGGCAGCAGACAAAAATATTTCCACGTACCACGTTGCCCATCTCAGACAATAACAAAATTCTTGCATAGTTGTCAACAAAAGGCGATCGAAAGACTCAATAACAGCTCGGATTTCATGTGAGCCGATATTTGTTTTTATTTGCGGTTTGCTGAGTCTCGCAGCTCCATCTTCAGACTGGCACTCGGCTCGAGAATCGAAATAAGAATGAAATTAAGAATCAGATTCTGATTCCGATTCGAAAAGACGAGTGGCGCAAAGCCAGCAACTCGTAGCATAAGCAAATATTTCAAAAAGCGCGCGCGCCTTTATCCCGGCCATCCTGCAGATTTTCTGTTTACTTTGGGACATTTCTGAATCTGGCGGATGCTAATGAGCCGTCGAGGCGTTGCCTCTAAGCGAAAAGAACTACAAACAGATTCGAGTGTCAAGTGGTGTTTTTTCATTTTTTCCATTTTTTTTGGCCAACGCTGCGTATGTGCAACGCGTGGCATTCGAGCGCTGGCAAAAGCAAACATTTAACCGTCGCAGTCTACGGATCGGTGGTCAGCGAGTGTCTATATGTCTGTGTTTATCAGACGAGCCTCCGCGCAGAGCGAAAACAACAATATCACACCGGAAAAAATGAGATGATTGGACATCGGTTGGTTGCAAAAACGTAATATGGTTCGATTTGAAGCCAGTTTTGATTAATCACAATGTTTTCCTTACAAAATCATAGCCATATTTATGGTTAATATAATTTTGATTGAAGAAAATAAATTATGTCTTACTAAGGTTCACTTGGAATCGAATTTTTAAAAATCACTTGAAGATTTTAAACATAAATGGGTTTTTTCCGACTTATGTAAAGCTTTTGAGTTTATAAGGCATTTTGAAATTTCATAAGTATTTCAAAATGATAATAGTTGGGTTTGCATACAACTCGATCTCTTAAGATCATTACAACAATTCTGAATCTTATGGTTTGTGTAAGCAAAAAACTTTTTAAAATTTTTTCATGTTAAAACTAAAATAATTCAATGTTATTTATTAAGACCAGAAAAAAAAACAATTCGACATTATTCACTATATTATATATAAAACATTTTATTTTTATTTTACCTAGAAAAAAACTCAAAAGCAAATTTAAAGCAAAATTCAAAGCTCTAAATATATTTTTAGTCTTCCCTCGAAGATGTTGAACATAAATGGTTATCATCAGATTTTTAGGAGCCTTTGGGTCTATAAGGCATTTTGTAATTCCAGAAATATTTTATAAGTGATAACAGCGGGATTGTTTAAAAATCGATCGTTAAATCATTAAAATAAATTCAATTCAAGATCAGATAATTAAAAAACCATTCCAATCCAAAAAGATTAAAAATGAAAGATTGTCTTGTTATTACTCGCTACATAAAATATTAAAAAATTTTTTATTTGATTGGTCCTAAAAAATACACAAAAGCAAAGCTGAAGCTAAATTCAAAGCTCTAAAATATATTGCTAGATTTTAGGCACTGCTGTATTTTATCCAAATGGTTTTTTATCTATTGGTTTTTTTCCAGTGCAGGCAGTCCAGCTGTCTGCTCTTGCGATGCTGCTGCTGCTGATGATACAGCCACTGTCGGTTTGATTTGATTTGTTTGTTGGCTTATGTATATTTATTGAAAATTTACTGCTTGCATAACAAACAACGAAGCTTCTGCTGCGGCTGCTGCTTCTGCTGCTGCTGTCATATGCAAATGCCCCAGTGGGCGGGGCGTGGGAGGGGGCGGGGCCGCTGTCCAAGTGTCATTAATCTCGCGCCAAAACGGAGACGCACAGTTTACTTTGGCTGATGAGTTTGCCGAAAGGAATTTCCTGTTGTTGGCGAATGACAAACTGTTTCCTTAGAAACCCCGCCCCTTGGCCACCTTTCGATCGATTTCGATTTGGGCCGTTTGTTACGTGTGAAACCAAATACGTTGACCCTTTTATAAGCGATTTGAACCGCACAGCACACCGCAGCACAGTTATCCACAGTTGGGCGACGGCGAAGGCGAAGGCGACCCACAGGGTTCCGCAGAACGGACAGCGCTAAAAATAGCTTTGGAGCCGGGTCTGGCATCCGCGATCTACCGATCGGTATTGCGCAATCGGCCTGAATGGAGCTCAAAGTCGGTCGGTGACTGGATTGCGGGATTTCGAGTCCGAGTCCAGGCGAACGTAGAATGGAAACTAAGCTGCACAGGAAAAAAAAGTCTTTGAGAGCAATTATGTTCAATATAGGAAAGAAACTAAGCTGCACAGGAAAAAAACAGGTGCGATACGAGTTCATTACTTTCGACGTTGAAAGATCACTTTGATCCTAACTCGCGTTAGTAAAATGGTATTATATATCAAGAAAAGCTATGGTATATTTTCTCTTAAAAACAGAATCCTTCATATTTAGAAGTCTTTCAGTTGTTCATACTTTTTCTTATGTCATAAAAATCTTTACCTTTTGAGTTCGTGAACAAAATATAAAACTGTAAAAAGGTCTTTGAGAGCAATTTTATTCAATATAGCAAGGAAAATGAGCTGCACAGGAAAAAAAAAGATTCGATACGAGGTCATTTCTTTCCACGATGAAAGATCATTTAGACCCTAACTCGTGTTAATAAAATGGTATTATAAATCGAGACAATCTATGGTATAATTTCTTTTAAAAACACAATCCTTCATGTTTAGAAGACTTTCAGTTATTCATACTTTTTCTTATGTCATACAAATCTATACCTTTTGAGTTTTTGAACAAAATAGAAAACTATAAAAAGGTTTTTGGGAGCAATTATGTTCAATAAAGCAAGGAACTTCTATGACTATGTCAAATCTTTTATATTTTCTTGATAATTTCTAGTACCACAAGTGTTAAGTTTTTATATTCAAGCTTATTCCAAAAGACAACTTATCCAAAACCAAGTCATAAAAGAGGTCTAGGTTGTCCCTTAAATCACATTGATCTCTTTTTTCTGTGCAGCACCAAAATGTTTATCCACAAAATTCTCAGGATGGCTTGTTTCCGCGTTCTGTTTGTTTGGCAACTCTATATGTTTTTCTAAATTATTCTGGGCCGCCGTCTGGAGGATCGGTTTTCTGGGCGGGACATTCAGACTCGGAAGCACGTGCTTTCGGGCATAATATGATACGCACTGGGGCTTTAGCTTCTGGGGACTGGGCACTGGGTTGGCCTGGGAGCGGCTTAATCTAATACGCAAATGTAACTGAAGGCGGTCCAAGTTGTTTATGCTGGAATACCTGAGAGAACCGCAGTGAAATTTAGCACCACGTTTGATGCAAGTTTTTTGGCCAGCTTGAGGGGCTTGAGGTTGAAATTATGCACTTGTTGCTGAAGTGCAGCAGCAGTAGCAGCAAAAACAGCCCAGGATCAGCGCAGCAGAAGATGCAATTCAATACAAACGAAAAAGCTGGCAGAGGAAAAAAAAAATCACATTTTGCGAAAATCCAGAATAAATGCCCAAAAACATAAAAACAGGTCTTTTGAAGCGGCGGCCAACGGTCAAACTGCATCTCCAGAAGAGGAAGAGGAAGGCATTCGCCATAGCTATATGGTATACCTCCATATATATATAAACCCCAGACCGTCTGGGTGTGTTGGTGTACCACTCGGGTGTGTTGGTCGCCCATGTATGTGTGTGGACCCTGAGTTTGGCAATGCAGTTGCCGAGGAGAATGCATTTTGTGCCTTGTTGCTGCCCCGACTTGGCGCTCCTTGCATTTTTTCGCGCTGCTGCTCCTGTACTCTTTGTTATTTTTTATTTCTCATTTGTTATTTGCGGCTGTGCCCAAAAGACATTTCAGCGAGCATCAAGGAATTCGAGGCATTTGGGGGTACGCAAACTTTGGGTACAGCAAAAGCCGGTAGGTTGGTCGGCCGGCCCAAGGAAAGTCCTTAGCGGATCGCTCGAGATCTGAGCCGAAATCAACAGCTCTTCATCTAGGTATGGCCAGGTGGGATTAACACTTTCACCGCACTGGCAGAAAAGTAGTACCTTAAATTGTTCTTCTATTGTCCACTATATGTAAACTTTATTTAAACTTTACAGAAGTTTGTTTTTTATACTAAAATTTATTTAAAAAATTAGATTTTAACATACCTACACAGAGAATATTCTGACGTTCCCATCTTAGTTGAAAATGTTCTTAAAAATATAACAACATTTTTGAAGTTGAAAATGTTTGTATTTTGCTCGAACAAAGTTTAATTGGCGGTACTCACATTGAATATCTCAAAAAATAAACTATTAATCCAGTTAGTAAAAACTTCTTGAATAAACTCAATTTAACTTTTCTATTCTCACCATTTCGTTCTAATATTTAGAACATTGATACCAAAATGTACTTAGACGGTTTTTAAGAACGAATGTTCTCAATTCAAGAACAATGTACTTCTATAATTCTCTTTGTATACCTTTAAAAAAAACCATCTTCGATTTTTAAAATTTTCTTATAAGGTAAACTTCTCTCACAGGAATTTACTTTCCTGGTATTACTAAGATTATACAAGATTGTATTGTTTGATTGTATTATTACAAAAATCATCATAGTTTCCAAAATTGAAATTTTGAGGTATTAACATTTTTAAGAAGGTTTGTTCATACTCGTACCCTATCATATTAGAAATTCCAAGGGTTACTTCTTGTTTTACACCGATTTGGTTAAGATTTTATGAGTTTCTTTCGGTGCAAACGGGTGATATCTGCTTGTTCGAATGGATTAGTATTAGTCCGTTACATTTGTCGTAACCAAGTTATTTGCAAAGGTTATAAAAACCCATTGACTGCCCGGGGTCTAAAAATAGCCTTGTTGCAGGAATGCAGCTCGAGCAGATCCGATGCAACTGCAGTGCAACTGCAGTGCCCAATCCGCAATCTACAATCCCCGAACCCCAGTCCCCAATCCGCAATCCCCAATCCCGAGCTCCACGGCAAGTGCGTGTGTTATTTTTTTATATTTTCTCCACGGCTCCGTGGCTCTGTGTGAGTGCAGACATCGTCTGGCGCGCCAACTGGACAACTGGACACTGGACAACCGCCGGATGCGGAGAAGCGGACGAAATTGCAATGGCCATATAAAAAAAATGTCGCAACGCGTGTTAACGCAATAATTTTTCGACCGGACCATGGACATGAACCCGAAACCGAACCCAAACTCGAACTCCAGACGCAGTAGGTCATTAATTGCCAGCGGAAGGGGAAGGAGAGGTTATTGCATTTGCAACAGCAGCTGAACATTCGATAATGGACTGACTGCCAGGGAGACTTGGGTCTTGGGTATGGGTTTGGGCCCCCAGCTGAAGTGGGCTAATTGAATAGGGTAGTTGAGCCGCAGTCGCCTCAAGGACGTTCGCCGAGTTGGCCAAATTAGGATACTCCAGCCAAGCCGCACTCCAGTCACGTTCAGTCTGTTCTTTTCCGTCTGCGCATCCATATGCATATGGATATGCATATGCATATGTTGTCTTGAGCACGTCCTTAAAGTCATGACGACGACAGCCAAAATAAAACAAATGCCAAACTAGCGCGCCAAACTGCAAGTCACAAACAACCAGCCAAACAAACAAGCAGGCCAGCAAACAAACAGACAGACAAAAAACAGACAGACAGGCAAAAAAGAGGCTTGCAGAGGGGAAGATACACTCAAAGGAAAGTCTTACCATTTCTCAATAGAATTATTTTTCCGATTTGAAAAACCAAATTAGGTATAGGTACTGATGGGTTTTAGAAAACCTAAATTAAACTCAGACCTTTCATTATAAAAATAGATTTACTAAAATTCTTCTGTTCTAATAATATTTTATTATAATAATGATCTTACCAGAATCAATCAAATGTATTTTTTTTTTTAATCTGTGCTAAATCTCTTATCATATTTCTTGTCTCAGAACTTAATCTTATTGTATTAGATTAATTTTTCTGAGAAACTAGCTACTATTTTAATAAAACCTACTAAATTATTCCAAATTTTTCGAATTTAAGCTGGAAATTTCTTTGAAAAAGAGAGCCTCGTTCAAATCGTTTTTTTAAACTTTCTTACCAAAAATATTTTCCCGAAATTTCTCTGCGTGTACGGAGCCAGACAGACGGTGCATAATGCGCCAAACCTACAACACAGCGGCGGCGGCAGCAACAGGTTCTTTATTTTTAGTAGTCGCATTTTGAAAACCGCCTGCTCAATGTCAACTCAACGTTTGAGACTTAATTGTTGCCTCTTGGCCGTCGTTTTTGTGCAAAGCATTCTTGGTGCTTGACTGTTGCTGTTGCTGCTGCTGCTGCCGCTGTTGTTGCCGCCGGTTGCATCATGTTGCTGGCGTGCCACTCCACTCGAGGCTCCATCCCCATGCCATGCCATACCATACCCATACCCATCCCCATCTCCATTCCAGCTGGAGTGGCAGTGTGCTGCTTTTTCTAATTGAATCCATCCTTGCTTGTTACCAGTTACCACTTGCCACTTGCCACTTACCAGTTACCTGTTACCTGTTACCTGTTACTCGAGTGCCCCCGTCATCCCTTTGCTTCTTGTCTATCCGCAGCACTTGCCGCTGTCATGCCTCATCAGCACCATCAGCCGACCAGCAGCCAAAACAATTTGACATTTCTCAAATCGAATTACAAATTCAAGCGCAGAGAGATGACCGCCATCCGCGCACTTCCGGCGACACCACAACCAAACCAATTAGCGGCAACAATGTCAAAGACGTCAGCAGCAACATCAACATCAGCAGCAACAGCAGCAGCAGCAACAGCAACACAATTGGCAAGAGCAACTAGCCACGAATGTAGAGCAGCTCTCGGTTTATTTATAGTAAGCGCATGGAGTGTTTTGCAAGAGTTGGCCAATTGCTATTGCTGCTGGCAGGATGAGGATGACGATGAAGATCGCTATATTGGCCATGGCCATGACGTCAATTGCTCTGACGAGGAGGTGTCAATGGCACGTGAACAGCAACAACACCGGCAGCAACATCAGCAACACCGGCAGCAACACCAGCAGCAGCAACACGAACACTTGGCCAGTTCTAGTCCAATGAAAAGCATGCGCTGCACGAGAGCAACACCAGCAGCAACAGCAGCAACATCAGCCGACACCGCAGCAACACCGGGAGCAGCAGCAACTTCTGGTCATCAGTTGGTTGGACAGCCTTTGATGGCTCTGTTAATTGGATTGCTGCTACTGAATTTTCGCCTGGCGGCGGGTAAGTAGTTAGTTGGCTCCCCAACCCATCTGAATCTCTTGAGAAAATGAATCCAAAACAGGCGCCACTCCTGCATTCGCTTTGCATATATGTATCTTAGATTCAGTTCGTTCGCCTCCGTAAATATGTCACATTATATTCGAATGTGACGCAATTTCCCACAGCCCTGCTACCTCGCTGTTTGTTTATCCAGCGAATCCCAAAATCTGCTTGGGTCTGCCAAATCGATTCGATGATCACAACAAGCTGAAGATCAAAATACGGGAAAAAGAGGGGCAAATTCGTACAGCACACAGCAGTATTCGCAATCTGGTCGCGCGATTTCGATTAGCAGCCGGCACATCGCATTCCTGCTGAATCTTGAAAGTAAACAAATCATTTTTGTTTTGCTCAGTCCAGTACCTGACCGTAATTTGACCACTGCGAAAGGGGAGCTCGATTCTGAGCTGTTTTCTTCCGGTTAGCTGGAGTGAATGCCATTTTAGCTTAACATTTTTTTTTCGAATGCACTTTGTGGAATCTAAAATGTTGCAAAAATGCTAACTCTTGTTTATTTCGTTATGGCTTACGTGAGTCATTAAATGCACTCCAATGTTTGAAAAATTTTATTTTTATTTAATTTTTTGAATAAAACTAACTTCATTTTATTGGTTTAATAACCAATCTCTTATGCGTTTCTAATTTTCGTCCATTTTTCCCGCAACAAATGTTAATAGGATATAGATTGTTTTGTATGTAGCTTTAACTGTCTTGAAATCTATGGGTCTAAATTTGAAAGTTTGACCTATGTAACTCCTACATAAAACTAAATGAAAAGGAAATTACTTTTTTTTGTATTAAATAACATTTAATACAATATATTAGGTTTGAAGTGTATTCAATTTGATTTTAAATCAGTAGTTTATGCAACATGAAAAACTTTTCGATAGTACTGTTATATCATATAAACCTTTAAAGATATAAGAGTTTTTTAATTATTTTATTTAAGAAAACATTTTTTGTTGGGCAAATAAAATTGCGATTTCTTATTCAGAGGCTATGTTTAGGGCTTTAAAGTTTAAACTATAGTTTAAGAGGATTCCAAAAGGATCTAAATAAGTTTTTCTAGCTGAACCAGTAACCATTAATTATTAAAATTCTCAATTTTCTCTATATTTTTTTAATTCAATTAAATATTAAAATTTAAAAAATCCTAAAAGGATTTATATAAGTTTTTCTCATTGATATAGCTACCATGAATTATTAAAATACCTGCTCTTCTTCATTCCTTTTGATTCGATTAAATATAAAAATTTGAGTTTCTTGTGTAAGGGCACAGCCTTAAAGTTTAAACTATACCTTTAAATGAGCTTAAGAAGATCTAGACAGGATTTTTTAGTTGAGCCAGCCTCCTTGAATTATTAAAATGCCCAATCTCCTCCAGCTGGCACCTGTTGGCAGACGCACCTGGGCAGCGGGAAGTGCGGCCAGGTCTTCTCGACGAACATCTCGAGGTCGGAGTGCTGCGGTTCCAGCCAGAGCTTCTCCTACACGGATCGCGAGCTCAGCAGCGTGGAGTACTTCTTTGCTACGGCCATCGGCGGCGGGGTGGAGTGCTCGCCCTGCATGGGTGAGTTGGACCCAATCTGGGGGATCCAGGAGGATTATCCAAGCCAACTTACCATATTCTATCCTACTCTTCAGAGAGCTGCAAGGGCTTCAAGTGCGGGCCCAACAAGAAGTGCGTGAAGCGTCGAAATCGACCCAAGTGCGTCTGTGCCCCCGAATGCGGAGCAGCCCTGCGACGCAGGAACCAGGAGAAGGAGCTGGACCAGGAGCAGGAGCAGGACATGGTGAAGCCTCCTCGCGAGTCCCGTAGTCTAAGTAGCGAAAATTCCAACTTCAATTTAGGTTTAGACGGCGGCCAACGCCAACGTGCCAACGACCAAAGAAAGCTGCACCGGAGACTTTTGATCATAGACAGCAGCAATTTGCCAGATCAGTCGCAGTCTCAGTCGCAGTCTGAGTCCCAGCCCACAAATGGCCAGGTGAGACGCGGCCGGGTGGAGATGACGGGCTATGAGAGGCGCAGGCACCGAAACAGAAACAGCCATGGCAATGGCAAGCACTTAACAAGATCAATGACGACAGGAGCCAATGACTCCTCACCGGCAGCTCCAGACAAGACGCCTGCGCAGTCGCCCGATGCAGACTCAATCTTGTCTAGACTTGGCAACTTGGCAAATGCTAATGAACCCGCCAACGACATTAATAGACAGTCGACTCGAGTCAGACACCAGCATGCCAGACGCATCGAGCATGCTCCACATCCAGACAATGGGCCTAGGAAAAGGCAGCAGGATCGGATGCATCGTATGGATCGTATGGATACAGAAGCCCAGTCAGCGAATACCACAATGTCTGGCTCTGGGTCGGCGAATCATCGTCGAATCTTTCAGCTGCAACGCGGAAGTGAAACGGCTGCGTCATCGGACCTCGCTAATGCCCATGACTTGGCTCTTCTGGGCGGAATCTACGAGCCCCTGTCGCTGGTGAGTACCTCCCTCAGCTTAGAGCTACCGTCCTCCAGCTGAAATCATCCACTGACCATTGCCTACTCCTTGGGGCCAAATTGTTTTTCCACCAGCAGCAGCAGCAACAGCAGCAGCAGCAACATCAGCAGCACTCGAATCCGGTTTGCGGCTCCGACGGACGCACCTACAACACCGAGTGCCAGCTGCGCAAGCGCGCCTGCCGCACCAACAACGCCCAACTGGAGGTCGCCTATCGGGGCCACTGCAAGAGTGAGTCCGCCACTACCATTTACCATACGCCATTTACCATGAGCCATGTGCTCCGACCACTGCACACTTAGCAAATCATGTCCGCTATAAAGAAATTTGGTAGACAACTGGACAGTATAGTAGAGAAATATTGCCTAAATTATCCATTTGTATAAAAGGGTAGGTTAAGTATTTCTGGGTATATATACTAGAGATTTACTAGGATGTGTATTTAGGCACTTGAGGCATATAACAAAAGAATCTTGGTGAAGTTCATTAGAAGTTAATATTAAAGTACTAGGCGAAGATTTCATTCAAACATAAGGTTTGCTTTCTTTTGATTTAAGAAATATTCCAACGTCATCTGTTCAAACAGGTAAGAAATGGCTACGAGTTGTATGAGTAATATTTAACATAAACTTAGAGATTATAATAAGAATCTATTTTTTGGACCACAATAGGTGCCCACTAACTATTTTAAATTTCCATGAATGTTTACCGCTGTAAAGGTTTGCTATTTGATATAGAAATTTTGTGTTTTAAACATAGAAGTTTTCCCTTAAAGTCCTGCTTTAAATAGACTACTATTGTTTTCAGAAATCTATCCTTGGTTTATTTCCCAAAATGTAGACCGAATATTTCTGCGAGTGTAGGTGGACTGGGTTGCTCGCGTGCCAAAACGCAGCAGCGCCACAATTAGATTAGATGACAAATTATTGCACATTTCAATTACGGCCAACAACTTGTCGCCAGTGGTGAAATCAACTGGCCAACCAGCCAGACTGAAGCCAGAAATGTTGTGTAATAATTTAATGATACAGGAAGCACTCGCAAACATGCTCAAATGATCAATAAAAACGGCGTACAAGAACGATGAGCCAAGAACCCAAAGAACTTGTTGGATTAGCCGCAAGCACACGACATTCTGTTGCTGGTGTTGCTCCTGCAACTAGCAACTATCAACCAGCAACTAGCAACTAGCAACTTGCAACACATAACCGGCAGTGCACTATGGGCTAAAAGTCCTTTTTCTAACATAAACTCCCAAAAAAGTTTTTAAAGATACTACATTTTTCATGTACCACTTGATATGTCCTTCTCCATAAATTTAATTTTTTAATTTGATTCAAGCAACTGAGAACGTTTTTCGATCGAGTAAAAGGTTCTTTTTCGAAAATTATAATTAAGAAGATTAATAAAACTACTGCAGTTATTTTTATTTAGGCTGTGCTTAGCATCGCTCATGTCAAGTTACAATAAAGCACATGAACTGTAAGTAATTAATTTAACATACATACCTTGACTCCTTGTTCCCATAACAAGATTTTTGATTTGTACACAAAAGTCTGAGAAATTCGAGCTTCCTTTATTTAAATATGTGAACAGATACCAATCCTTTGTCTTTCATAAGCAATAAAATCCCAAAAAGGAAGGAAGGAAAATGCTGTTTGGGTTCTTTGAAGTATTCTAAATAAGCATATAAGTTCTTTAAAGTATTCAAAATAAGCATATAAGCCCATTTTTAAAATACGACGGAACATAATAAATTTGAAAATCCTTTCGTTTTACATTTTGGTCCATAGTGCAGTGGCAGGAGCAGCAGCAACAGCAATTCCAGCAATCTAACGTTGGCGCGTGCCAATACATCCAATGGAATGCCCAATCGGCAATTCCGATGGCGATCTGCGGCGACCACTCATTCGCATTCAATTGCGAGCGGAAAAATGATTGCAATATTTCGCGAGTGTCACAGTTGGCGCCAAGGCGTTTCGCATATTCGCGTTTTCGCATCAGCGGGCCGCATGTCCCCCTGATAAATTTCGACAGTTTATTGCCGGCCATATAAGCGCATATGTATATAGCCGAGAGTTCCGACTGCATGCGAGTGGGGGTACGGGTACGGGTTCGGGCTAATCATAGACATTGGCCAACTACTTATTTATAGGCACAATCAGCGCCTATATGCGAAGAGCATTCGTTAATGCCAAAAACATAGTTGCAAGGTGCAACATGTTAGCATAATAATTTGTCATCATATTTTGGGATGAGCAAAGGGGAAACGTTTACAAAATTGTCCTTACTTAATCGAGAACAAAACGTTCTGGAAATCAAGATGAAAGTACTCTTGAGCTTGTTTTTTAAGTTGATGCGATCTTGTAAAAAGAAGTATTCCAGATTTTGTTTTCAGAGACGAAAGTGGACTAGCAAATAGAACATACTTCATCTTGATATTGAGAAGTTGAGATTGAATGGGGTTTTTTAGTATAATCAGATTGGCACATAAAACGAATTCGATTTAATGTAACATATTAAGGTATTTCTTTAATAAGGCATCTTGTTTTACAAATGTACAGATATATTTATGACATAGTATTAAGGGAAGCATATTATAGGGTTAGGCCTAAAAGTTTTCAATAATACAGGTGTTTAATACAATACAATAAAATCTCTAGTAAATGGATCAAAATGAAATATATATTATTTTAAGACACAGGTTTCTGGATTCTTGCTTATAATTCCTTCCTAACAATCCTATTTCCCCAGACAGCTGCCGTGGAGTCCAGTGCCTGAAGGGGTTGACCTGCGTGGAGGACCAGTACATGATGCCCCACTGCATCGCCTGCCGGATAGAGTGTCCCTGGGACAACCTGGATGCCGATTCCGGGGGCTACGATGAGCGGCAGGCGGTGTGCGGGGTGGATGGCAAGACATACAGGAGCGCCTGTGATATAAATCGAATGATTTGCAAAATTGGACGTTCCATCGCCGTGGCATATCCGGGACCCTGTCGAGGTATGTATTTTGGCTGCGGACTGCTGAGTGCAGACTTTGCTGCAAGAATCAATCAAATTAATTGGTATGGAAAGCCTAGTTGCAGTCGGCAGCCAGCGAATGCAAATTGTTGCTGTGCGAATTTAACAACAATCAGCAAGGAACCGCAATTTTGCATTTGATTGACTCGACTGAGGTTTCCAGCCAGCTCAGCCCAGCCCAAGTTGAGTTAAGTTTCAGTTAAGTTAAGTTGAGGCGAATCGAATCGAATAGCGTCACAGCCACAAGTGGTTGTTTGCCGTCTGCAGCTTGGCCATATCCCATATCAAGTTGCCGGCTCTCTCGGTGTTTGACTGAAATTGCTACATTTGCTTATACGGCTCCATGATTGCCAGCAATTTGATTAGCCCGTCAGCTCTGATCTGGCCTGGTCTGCTCCACTTTGACTAGACTGCGAGTACGGGCGCATCCACAATTACAGCGAACACTCGCGTCGTCGGCATCACTCATGCTTATTAATTTTGCGGTTGCCATCCGATTGATCGACTCCGATTTCCAATTAATTATAATGCCCCGAGTCGGCCCACGACAGAAAGTGCACAGCAAAAAATTCATTTATGGTCTTCGTTGGTCCTAGTTTCATCCAAAGTTGTTCATTATTTATTGTTACATATCCGAAAACCTAAATCTCACATATTCCTCATTACCATGAAAAGTAAATATACATGTGCCCTTCGATAAATAAAAGATTTTAACTGGCATGATAACGGGAACTATCCTTTCGAACTTTATAAAAGTTTGCATTCACAGAACCCTTCTTGTGTAGAATATGAACATTATTATATTTGACATCTTAAAATTTCTTCCTCCGATTATTTATATAAATTCTAGGTCCGATTTGCATTTTATATGCGTTTTGTTTAAAAACAATGAAACAGCTTACACATCCTCAAATTAATTTGTTTTCAGAATATGTTTATGTTTATAATATATTGATCTAATTTTTTATAAAAATATCCCAAAGTCCTCAATGTAGGATAGTGCTTATGCGTTAAGTACCTTCCCAAAGATTTTGGATATTAAGTCATATTTACCATTTCTTTAAAGCCCTAAAACCATTCATATATCTTTCAAATAATTTCTATATTTGAATAAGTAAACATCGTAAATCTATTGATCCTCAAAAGAAAGTTGCATTGTATTTATACGTTTAAAAAATGTAGTGTTTGTCCATTTATTTATATAGATTATAGATCCCTTTGAATATTATTGATTGATTTGATTATTAAAGGTATATTTACCATCTATGTATATGTATGGTATGGATGAATTTTTTTATATATTTTTCATTTTAAAATTCTAAAAAATTCATATATCCTTACAAAAATGTTAAAATATTAAAATAATTTTTAAATCCTTTTGAATTTTTTAATTAAGTTGATTATTAAAAGGAATATTTACCGTCTATATGTAATGTATGGATCTAGTATTTTATATGCATTTCATTTTAAAAGCCTAAAAAGTTCATAATTCTTACAAGAATTTCTATATCAAAATAGGATAACCGCAGTAAATATTATATTAGCAGATTCTAATGATATCCCAAGGTCCTCAAGAAAATCGGATTATTTGTGTACCATTCAATTTTCCCTGCTCATTATTTACTATATCATTGTTATACCTGAAAAGTTTAAATCTTCAGCAACTTTTTATATCAACTGACTTGAACGATTATTTTACATGCCAAGATCCTCGGTCCAATATTTCTGAATATTTTTCTGACAAATAAAAAAAGATCTATTTATCAACGATTAGTAATAATATCCTTTTATACTTCTTTTGGACAGTTAATGAAGGAAATAATAGTACATACTCAATTAATATTTTTGTGTGATCAGTGCCATTGCTATTTCCATATTAGAAAATATCGAAAAGTCATTTTCATTCAACTATAAAAGACATGGGGTTTTTCTTCCTGTGCGGCAATCAGAGGTGCTGGAAGGCGTGGAGGGCGTTCCGCAGTCGCACCAAATCCGGAGGAACTCGAGAACCTCGGGTCGGATGGAGCGACGGGGACGGACGGACGGACTAAACTAGTTTAGTGTGCCATGGGGGCTGAAGACAAAAGAGGGCTGCCGTGTGCAATTGCCTGTTAATTGCAGTGTTTTGCTGCAAATTACAGCTTGTAGTTAATGCGAAAACAAAAGCTGTCAATCCGGCACCAACAGCAGCTGCCGTTGACAAAAATACCCTCCTCCGGTCATTCTGTTTGGTGTTATTATTTATCAATATTGCAGCTTTTGCCGTCCTCAATTTTCATAATAAGTTGGTGTTCTTTTAATTGATACCTCACTTTTTAATCTTATATATATGCAGGAAGCACAAAAACACCTGAACACTAAGATTAAAAATTTTAATATTATCATTTTTAAGACAAATCATCATTCATTCATCCTATTTTCGATTTATGGTTGATATCCGGAAGGTTGCTTTGGTAGCTTTGGTTATGAACAACTTTAGTTAAACTATACTTTTTGATTTTTAAATACGTAAAGAGTTTTACACAGAGTCAGACATTTTGAAAAACATCTTTCCTATATTATTTTCACTTATGGCCGGTTTTAAAAATGAGCTTGGTTTTCTGCAATCAAAAGTTAAAAAGATGTATTTTCTTATATTTACGACTTTGTTCTTTGGTTTTCCATCTTCTACAGGTATTTATCATTCTTCTTTTTGAACAATTTCTGAGAGTTCCAGAAACATTATTCATAGTTTTCGAATAATCTTTGATTCATTCAACATTTTCAGTCGGAACTTCGATCACAATGGCACATAGGTTCTGGAAAATATAAAGACAAATTTTGAAGGGAATTTTGGTGTAATTTTTTTTAAGGAATTAGGAAGTTTAAAATGTAGTATAAAAATATTAGATACAATTTTATTAAACTTTTCTGTTAAAAAATAATTTTGATGTGACTTCCAATCGACCGCACAGCACAATATGTGTAAAGGGAATGAACTTTACTTATGGAAACGATATAAACCTGACATTTGAAGACTTAATTATCACAGCCTTCTGTTTTACTGTAGTTCATAACTTCTCGATTTCAACAGGGAGGGAGGTACTCCCCTCAGATATTCATTCACTGATCGCCTGTCTATCTTCGTAATCTCTGTAAACGGTAGCCGGGTTCTGAATAAAGATCATTAGCTATTACTATTCACTCTTGCTTTTAGCCCGGCCACGCCATCAGTCGTATCTCAAAGCCTAAAAACAAGTGTGCGTGAGACCCTGCAGTTTGTTGATCTGGGATCCTCGTCCCGCCCAAGTTCCCCCGGCGAGGGCCCCACACTCCTTCCGCTTCCCTGGGTTCCTTTCCTTCCTGCTGCTTAATGTGCGTCTGGTACTCGTTATGTTAGGTGGATCGTCTGGGGATAAGATAATGCTAGCGTGCTCGTGTGTGTTGGTTTCCTGAGCTTTTTATCTTCATGGTTAGTAAGTTTATGGTTCTCGGGCATTTGTTTGTTTGTCTGATTTCACATAAATATTTTCAGTCGCGATCCGGGCTCAGGCCTGGAAAAAACCTCTGTTGGGGGGGGGGATTACGAAGTGGAGGGGACCTGGACCCAGGCACCCGGCACAAGCCACGAAAAGTTGCCGTTGGCCCCAAGAAATATGACTACACGTACAAACCATTAAAACGCCATTTTCGCAACGTTCCGCGGCGACGCAGGTTCTGTGATTGCAACTCTCGGGGAGTGCAGTGGATTGGAGTGGCGGGTTCCCGAATGGTATAAAGTCCGGTCTGGGGTGTCCAACTGTCCGGCTGTCCGGCTGTCCGACCGTCCAGCTGTCTGGCTGTCCAGCTGTCCAACTGTCCACGTCGTCGCGACGTCACTTTTGTCTGGACGAGCGTCTGGCTCTTCTTCCTCTGGGCCGGCTGTAGTTTACGATCGTATTAAAATCACCTTAAACAACACGCAATGCCAAAATGGCCAGTCGGCCTGGCCTGAATGGGAACACGCATATACACGGGGCCAGACCAGACCAGACCAGACCCCTCCAGACACATGACCCACGACGCATCCCCATCCCAAAAACCAGCCCAGCCCAGCCCATCCTATATGATCCCAACCCATTCCATAGCATCCACACAATGTTGCAATAAGTTCCGCCAACGGCCGCCGGCGTTGATTAAACCACGTCGACATAACAAATTATAGTTGGCTCGCCTTGTGACGGCATTATCAGCCATAACCAGCGGCGCAGCTCCCGCTCTGGAGGCCACTGGAGTCCACCGAGGTCCAGTGAAGTCCACTGCCACATCCATCACAATCAACAAGTGCGGGGAGCGAGTGGACCTCGCACAAAGGACGTATCTGCCTAAAGCTAAATTGGCAGTTGAAATTAATAAACTTTAACTGTTACGAATTGCTAGACGGTCGACTTTAACGCACCGTCTCCCGGGACGCAGATGCAGATGCAGATGCAGTTCCAGACATCCAGACAGCCCAGCCCAGCCCAGCCACCTCCCTTTGCCCAAACCCCAACCCCACATCCATCTCCATCTCGATCCCCACCTCCATCGCAATTGCGATCAACAATGCCCGGGGGCTCTGTGCAACAATGTTGCCCACAAGTCGCAGATCATGTTGACGATAAACTGCTTTTGCTTTTGCTTTTTCCCGGCGTTTGCGGCTGCGCACCGCTCGGCTGCTTTATTACTCGACTGGCTGACTGGCTGACTGGCTGACTGGCTAACTGGCTATATGGCTCTGACTCCCTGGATGTCGGATGTTGGCCCGGCCTGAAGATGCTACCCGTCTTGCGCACGCGGATTGCGCTCTGCTAAAATTAATTTGGGGAGGGGGTTTGGTATTGGAATGGAAAAGGGCCTTTAAGGCACAGAAAAAAATTATATCTGATCAGAGTTTTTGAAAAAAAATTTTTTTATTTGTTGGGTTGAATTCTTTTCAAGTCCAATAAACTTTGGTCTAAGTTATATAAGCAAATATGTTTTGTCTTTCGATTATAAAGTGATATCATTTCTAGTTTATATCTTTTTCATTTAACTACTAAAGTGTAGGGTATAGTGACGAACTATTCGTTTTTTTAATGTCACTTTTCCAAAAAATAATATTTTTTAAAAGTTTATGAACAGAAAGTTGCTGACATCTATCGAGCAAATTCCTGTAAAAGTTCGATGATAAAATTCCAGCGGACTTAAATACTGCACCTCTTGGCGTAAAACAATATTTGTTTAACTTTTAAAAGTTGTATGGTAAGGTGAGGAACTGATAAACACCCACTAAAACTCAATGCAGATGTGAAAAAATGCTTTTTTTCTCCAAGAATACAAATTTAACTATAAACTAACAGTTCTGGGCTTAGTTAAAATTAAATCAAATTAAGTAGTTTAATTTCTAGTTCAAAAAGAAAAATTTTTATTTTATTTATCGGATGTATAAAAGAAACGAACACTGATATAATGTCAACAATATGTTCGTCATGATAACTCTTAATAATAATGTTGTAAATACATTGTCAGCACGACAAGAGAAATCGACTACAATTATTTGAAATTTTTGACGTGAGGTCACATATGAGATTTGACAAGTTCGTCACCTTACCCTACTCTCCCCAACTATTCATTTTTTATTTTATAAAAATGTAATTAAAATTTTTTAAGTGTAATATTATATTCAGAAACTTTTTAATAACTGGTGATTTTCTGAATAATTTTGTGAAGCTATTGCGCGTGGTGTGAATAATGTGTCAACTTTGAAAATTGCAATAATAGCAGGGAAGGGACAACCACAGCAGATTAGGAAACGCATCTTTATTGCTGATCCCTTATACAAGAAAAAAGCTAGCCAGAGGAATCACTGAAATCTCTTAAAAACAAATTTCCCCCGAAAAGCTAATTTAGGTGTCACAGAAACCGGTTCAAAAATAACAAACCAAATAAAGGGAGTTTTAAAAAAATGTTCCTTAAATCAGACCAATTTTGTTAGCGAAACTCTGTAGATTCTGTTACACCGACGGTTTTGTTTGGTTGGTGTCCAAACCACCCGCCCCCAAAACGTCTACGGTTTCTGTGTCACCCCCGTATAAGTAAATCTTATAATAATTTATCAAAATTTATTTTAAGGAAATTATGACTTAGTGAATCCCATTTTTTTTTTGCTTTGAATTGACTGGCTCACAACCTTTAAACTTAGAAAGTCTGTTGCAAGCTGGCGTAATCCAGTAATCACGCCAGCACCTGCCCGGGTTCTCATGGGGGGCAGGACATGCAGTCGAGTGTGCAGGGGCCATTAAACCGGAATGGCCGGGCATAAAACAAAGCTGAAACTTAGCCACAGGCAGCCGTCATTAATGCGCTCTCATCGTAAACGTAAACTTTATATTGCAGTGGGCCGCGTGAGCTGTGCGGACATCAAGTGTGGCCCGAAGGATAACTGCCTGGTGGATCTGCAGACGCGCCAGCCGCGGTGCGTGTCCTGTCGCTACAAGTGTCCGCGGAAGCAGCAGCGACCGGTGAGTAGTAGTTTTTTGAGGATGAAATGTTCCACTAATTCGTGATCGATGGGTTCCACAGGCTCACAAAATATGCGGCTACAACAACCATACATACAACTCGTGGTGCGAGATGCACAAGAACTCCTGCGAATCCCGCTACTTCATCGGCGTCAAGTCGCAGGGAAGCTGCTAGAGGACTGGATGCATCTCCCGTCCGCATTGGCCTATGGCATTATGTAGCGTGTTCTTCCGTAGTTCCAACATCCAAAGATTCTCGTTGTGCGTTTTCGTGTTGTAATCGGTGGATGGGCCTTAGGCTGTTGCCAACCAAGCTTACACTACATATTATCGGATACATTTTACATACAGGGCAAAGTATTATCAACCATACAACATTACGTATTGCAGCAATTCTTATCCAGCATGTATCGCAAGAGAAACCACATATCTTAAGAGGCTTTTGTATTTAACATTTAGGCTACACGGTAATTACTTTAAACGATTGGTTTGAATGCGTATTTCGCTCGCAATTAGTTTAGACCAACATACGCGACTTCATATTTATTTAACATTACCTTCCCCATATTCTTTTTGTTCATAAGCGAAGCTAAATTAATTAATTGACTGATAGCTTAACCTTATAGCAAGATTTTTGAATTAATATATACATATATAGAACCGATGTAATTGTTAATTAAATGTGTTTCCAACATAATTCAAAATGCCTTTCTAATCACTATCATCGGACTGCACAAAGATATCGTTGGCGCGCTGATATCGAGCCTGGGTGATCTTTAAGTTGGCCAACTTTCGTTTGTCCATAGGTCTGGAGCTGGAGGTAACTGGATCACTGTTTCCTAGACCGCTAGTGCCCTCATTGCCCACCACACTGATCTGTAAATTAGATAGCGTGAGCTATTTGGAGTCGTTGCGTTTGCCTTAAATACTTACCGGCGCCAGGAGTCCAGTACTGGCGTTGGTCTTGCCCAGAGTGTCGCCCTTTTGCCAGCCCAGTTTGCTTAGCATTTTGAAGCCCTTGTTGGAGCTTCCAATCTCACTAAAAAAGGATATTGGTTAAGCACCAAAAGGTTATATTTCCTAGCAAATACTCACGTGTTCACGCAAGCCACCTCAGTCTTTTCCTTGTCGGTGCTGCTGCCCACCTTGACACGCCTTGTTGCGGCGCGATCATTGTAGTTGGACTGACCATTGCCGCCAGGCTCAACGAATTCTGAAAGTTAAAATAGGATTGTCAAGTTAGAAAATATTCATACTAAAGGAATGAACCTGACAGGTAAGCTGTACTTACTCTCGTTTTCCAGGCCATATTTGCGCTGCAGCTTCTTCAGCTGCTCCTTGTGGGATAATACGGTTGCGGTGGAAACGCCGGCTGTGGCCACCACCGACGGAGGCGTCTCTATCAACAGACCCGGCTCACACAGCCCGCAGGTACTGCTGCCCTCGTGCACATGACACAGGAGTTTCGTCTGCCCCAGGATGATCACACTTCCGTGCACCAGATCCATGGCTTCGCTGGACATTGGAGAACCATTGAGAATGGTGCCGTTGCGAGAGCCCAGATCAAGGCACTTGTAGAGTCCCAGCTTGGCTTCATACTTAAACTTCAAGTGGCACTTGCTCACGTTCACGTCCGGAATGATAACATCGTGTGCGCCCTCGCGCCCCAAAGATCCGCCTTTGTATGTTATAAGATGCAGGCTGCCCACCTTCAAGGCCTCCAGGTTTGTCTCCTGGACAATAACACGCAGCGATGGTGGATACTTCTTGGCAATATCTATGAAAAAGAAGAGGAATAAGTTGGTTAAACTAGAAAAGGACAGCGCGATAAAAACGCGGATATCTTAAGCACCTTGAAAGCGCCCGGCAGCCTTAAAGATAGGAACACTGCTGTCTTCCGTGTCTTCCGTGCCGCTGGTCCCCTCGTTGTCGCTGGAATCGGAACTTGAGTCACTGCTTTGCGACAGCTCGCCCTCCTCGGCGTCCTCATCCTGCTCATCACCGGAGTCCCTGTGACGCTTCTTGGACTTGTGATGGCGATCCTTCTTGCGTTTCTTTTTGCTGTGCTTCTTGCTCTTCTTTTTTCCCTTGGCCTTGCGCTTGGATTTCTCAGCGCGATCCTTGGCTTTCTGCTTATCGGCCTTGATCTTCTTCAGCGTGTCGGGGTCAGTAATAACGCCTCCTAGCTCATCGAAGTGCACCTCTTCGTCCTCGGATTCCGGCTTGGCCGCCTCGTTCGCCTGCAACCAAGTGAAGAAAAGAAATCCGCGTTTTTATCGCACATTCTGGACCTTGCCGCTTACCTAATGCATTGCTACGCATTCGGTCTATGCTGAGTTTGTGAAACCCCGCTAAAAGGCTACTATAGGCGCAGTCGCTGACAGGCTGCGCAGCGAGGAGGAGAAGAACGGTGGTTAATGTGGTCGTGTGGCAGAGGAGTCCGTGGCAACACCCACTCACCTGCACCTGGGCCTGCGAGTGAAACTCGTACGAGTCTTTGGCGTGGTCATAGCTGTAGTAGCATCCGGTGTTTCCGTCGTAGTACAAGCCGTACTCCTGGGAGGAAGAGAAAAGTGGGCGGTGGTTATGAACAGTTCAAGCCATTGATGTAGGCTCGCCGGCGCGATAACCCCTGAAAGTCACTGCAATGCAGTCGCTGCATCGCGGAATAGAACGGAACGTCATAAAGATTACGTCCGCGCTTTATAGCTTATTTACCGCGTTATAGTAGTAGCCCGTCTTGTGGTCGTAGTACAAGCCCGAGGTCGGCTCGTAAACGAAGTTGTTTAGGTTTTCGGCGTGCTTAGCGGCCTGCCGCATCTCGTCCACAAAACTGAAGGCGTCCGTTGCCGATACTGAAATTAAAAATCGTTTGTAAACATGGCAAGTAATAATTTCTAAATAATTATTGATAAGGGTTGGAAAACAATAAACAAAATTATATTTTTGGAACTTGTATATATTCAATACCATTTTACGTGCTGCCTTATCAGAAATTCCACCTAGCTACTATCAGCCTTTAATATTTTTCGTTCCAGTTTTGAGCAAATTACAATACGTCTAACTTACTTCCTCATTATAGGTAATAAAAGTATTCTTATATAGGGAGTAATTATTTTCAAATCATAAATTAAAGTTGATAATTATTTGCATGTAGTAACACTAAATAGTAGGGATTATAGGGTTATTCTTATAAATATTTCCCTGAAGCTCTGCTTTATAAGGCAGAAATCTTGCGCAATCTTTTCAATTCTATTAGAAGTGGTGTCAAGGGCTGTCGGGGTTTTTGTCAGGGGCAGTGGCGTTAGCCCATGCGACACTTTAGCACTAATCTCTGGCATTAGCAGGCTCGGATGTTTGACGCACGCTTTATATTACTCGACCTGAGACCCCACTAATACTCAATAGATAGGGAAGTGGGTGGGCCTAGCGTGTAAGATGCACTCCTTGAAACGGCATTATCTCTCCGATAGCTCAGGAGGCGTGGTGCAGTTTATATGGCCCAGTGACAGTTTATGGCTTTTATGGTCTTATTAGGTGACCAACAAGTGCAAAAGTGAAAAAAAGGCCTTGGAATTTCTTCCTATGAATTTTGCACTCCCTTTATAAATAAGTAGGTGAGTAGGTTGGTAAGTAAATGGGTAAGTAAATCATACACTACAAAAGCTTTTAGTAAATTGACTAAAACTAACGAATTCGAAGGGAAATCAATTGTTTTCCCACATATGCTAGTTTTTTTATAACGGGCAATGACCTATTAATCGTTGAATATTTCGTATTTTCAAGATAGCGATCAAGGTCCCTTGTGAATGATTTGACTTTGGTCAATGATGGCATTGTTTCTTCGTGCAAATAGTTAAGTAGCGTCGATCTACAATTAATTTGTAGGGTGCCAAATCAGGAGCTATTGCCGACAATTGACAAGCGACAGCCGGGACCCAAGCGATTAGCATATCGCGCAGTTGTAGTTTTAGATTCAAAATCCGCAAATCAGCTTCTTAGGTGTGTTTTCGTTTTTAATTTGCTACGCAGCTCCCAGATTGCAGTGGCAGCAGTTGTTTCCATGCCTGGCGCACTGCATCTCGTCGGCCGGGTCTTATCAGCCATCCAGTTTAGTTCCAAATCGCCGTGGGCTGGCCAGGCGCCTGGTTAGTCGTTACTCATCGTTCGAAGCGGTTACAACTTAGACAGATTAGCCAAGCAAAATGCTGGACGCGGAGGTGCGAGAACTTATGCAACCCTTTGTGCTGAGTGATTACCAGGTGCAGGAGGTGTACAGTCGCTTCTGCCTGGAAGTGGCCCGTGGTCTAAAGAGATCAACGCATCCGCAGGCCAATGTGAAGTGCTTTCCCACGTACGTGCAGGATCTGCCAACAGGCGACGAGATGGGCAAGTACTTGGCCCTGGATCTCGGCGGCACCAACTTCCGGGTGCTGCTCGTCTCGCTGAAAGGTCACCACGACGCCACAGTAGATTCTCAGATCTACGCCGTGCCTAAGGACCTGATGGTGGGCCCAGGCGTTGAGCTATTCGATCACATCGCCGGCTGCCTCGCAAAATTTGTCGAGAAACACGACATGAAGACCGCATATCTGCCCCTGGGATTCACCTTCTCCTTTCCTTGCGTACAGTTGGGCCTTAAGGAGGGCATCCTGGTGCGTTGGACCAAGGGCTTTGATTGTCCTGGTGTGGAGGGTGAGGATGTGGGCCGCATGCTGCATGAGGCCATTCAGCGACGGGGAGATGCAGATATTGCCGTGGTGGCCATACTCAACGATACCACAGGTACCCTGATGTCCTGCGCTCATCGCAATGCCGACTGTCGGGTGGGTGTTATCGTGGGCACCGGCTGCAATGCCTGCTATGTGGAGGATGTGGAGAATGTGGATCTCCTTCATGTGGATTTCAAGAGGACGAAGCGGCAGGTGATTGTGAATGCGGAGTGGGGTGCCTTTGGGGAGGGTGGGCAGTTGGACTTCGTGCGCACCGAATACGATCGCGAGATAGACGAGAAGTCCATCAACCGTTCGGAGCAATTGTTCGAGAAGATGACGGCTGGCATGTACCTGGGCAACCTGGTGCGTCTCGTCTTACTGCGCGCCCTCGAGCGAAAGCTTATCTTTAAGCAGAGCAGCCGACGGCCAGAGTTTACTAGCGTTCTGCAGAGGAACGAGGAGGTTTTTGAGACACGCTACATCTCAGAGATTGAGGACGACTCGTTCCCGGAGTTCGCCAGCACCAGGAAAATCGTAAAGCAGCTGTTTGGCCTGGAGAAGGCCTCAGTGGAGGACTGCCAGACGCTGAGGTACATCTGCGAGTGCGTGGCCAAGCGGGCGGCCACTTTGGTGGCCATCGGTGTGAGTGGCCTGGTCAACAGAACCTCCAACCGCCGTGTGATAGTCGGCATGGATGGTTCTGTGTACAGATACCACCCCAAGTTCGATGCCTACATGAGACAGACCCTCCAGAAGTTGGTAAAAGCGGACAAGGACTGGGACATCATGCTCTCGGAGGACGGATCCGGGCGTGGAGCTGCGTTGGTGGCCGCGGTGGCCAGCAAATCGAAGTAGGAACTCACTACTATGTAGCAATAATAAAAAGACTCGGTGGAATAAAAAAACTCTTGACTCACAATCGCTGGGCTTGTCTTTTTTGTCGGCGTCCTCATCTTTCTCCAGGGAATCCAGGTTTTCCTGG